AAATTGTTGTTCCTTTTTATTGCAAAAAGAGGACTTAAATTTGTAAATCATGTAATAGTGCAAGGCCAAGGTTCAAATTTAATGTTCCCAACTAAATGAAGGATGAAAATAAAGCCAAGTTTAGAATTTCATACCTTTTTATGGCTTCATTCCTAACTAACGCCATTTTGCATCAGATCTAAAAAAAACACGTTTGATCAAATATTAATCTTAACAAATCATTATCTAGAAGTACATTAGTTTACAAGCTATTGTACTCCAAAATGTTATTTAATGACATGATGTATTTAATTTTTATTACGTTTTGTATTTTTTACTCTTACCAAATAAAGACAATGTGCAATCGATTTCAAGTGAGTAAAATCAAAAAGCTATTGTTAGACTGCCGCCTCTTGTTCCAGTAACGCAGTTATTGTTAAGCACAAATCGAAGAGTGACATGCAATTATACTTATGTGTTTCTAGAAAAAGTAATTTGTTTTTTATCGTTTAATTTAATTTATTTGTAGGTTTCTACAAAAAGATTAGTATCGAAAGTATGACACGAACATATACAGTGGTCGAAAATCTACATACGGAATGTCCAAAAAATCTTAAAACAATATTAATTTTTCAATGCCTCTGGACTATTGCTACAAAAGCAATAGTAACCGTTTTTTGAGATAAATTTGATTTCTACTTAAGAAAGGAATTGAGAGAATGGCAACAGAAAAGTTCCAAAATATAATAGGCATTAAAAATGGAAAAATTTGATTGTACGTATTTCAGGGGCAAGATTATCTTCGTTATCTTCCATATTCGTGTTTTTCGACAGAATTTGGATAAAACAAAAGGCTTTTAAAATTGACATTACCAATCCCTAAATCGATTAAAGTAAAAAAAATTGTGTAAAAACGGCATACAAAGGGCAACAAATTACACAAATTACAAAAAATAGATCAAAACTCGTTTCATAAGATCTTGATGCACTCTGAAAATAATTTGAGGCTGCGCCACTCGTTTTGAATTCGTGCTTTAAGACTGATCTTATGAAACTTGTTTTTTAATATACTACCTATTGTATTTTTTTTGAGCTTAGAAAATAAATAAAATATATACAAACTATGAACAGTTTTTTGCAAAAATATTAAGTTTTCTTTTTTTCTTGGATTTGTTATTATTGAAAAGCTGTGCATGATAAGCAAAATGTTCTGTGATAAATGACATGAAAAGGTTAAATGTAATAAAACAATTAATTGTAATCGATTTCGCTGCTTATGTTCTTATACCTCTGTTATCAGTGTGTCACTTACCAAAAGTCATAATATTTAAGTGAAAGAAAGGTTTATTTTTAACAGTGATTTGCCTAAAAACAAAAATAAGTAATAACTTTAGCGTAAAGTGAAGTGTTTGTATTTACAGTATCCAAAGGTGCTGTTAACAATAAAAAAAATACCGGTATTTACTGGGTCATGTTGTGGTCGATTTGTAGTGGAATAGAACGTCGTTCTGTCCTAGAAGCAGATATGCGCGACACTGGAAGGACTTCTTGGGCGATGGGTCAAATCCTAGTGGTGCTGATGTAGAATATAGGTGCGCTTGCGTCTCTGTCGTCGAAGCAAACAGGTGTTGTCATCCACGCAACTAGGTCGAATGATTTTTTAGTATCTCATTAATTATTTAAAATACAAACGAAACTGTTCAAACACATTTGGAGATTTGTAAAGTAAATTGTGTACCTTTTAATAATTCAAAAAGCTTCGGTTTTTAACTAATTTTGGTTTGTTGTTTATCCATTATAAAAAAGTCGTTTCTTTAATAACGGTTATGTTGAAAATTACTGAGAGGTATGTCACGTGGAATCGAAATTATTTAACATTTTATTTTCTTTGCTAATGTGTTATGATGACTGATACGTTCACGTAAGTTATTCAGTCATAATAATGAATAATGTCATAAATTTTATCTTATTTTTTGAATAATTTTATTTTACTACTAGTTGTGAAGCTGTAGTTCTCTCCTAGTGGTCAATAATCATTTTCATTATCGGCCAAGGGCTATAATAAATTAGAGGTGGGTAAATACCTATATTGAAGGGTATTACATAAATATAATAATGTAAATATATCTAGAATATTATTATTTAAAACTATTATCATCACAAGTACTTAATAACGGAAATATTTCCGAATGAAATTAATTCAAAATCAAATAAAAAAGACATTAAAAAAACATCAGAATAACCCCACCTCTAATTCTTCTGTCTATGTTAACACTGTTAAAACAACAATGTGGGTTTATTTATTTCATGTTGAAATACTGCGGGTAGTAGGGCAAGTTTTAATACTTTTTCTCTATTCTTTGTGGTTTCCATGTCATTTTAATAAATATTTCACATTAGGAAGTTAGAAAATCTTTTTAATAGATGTAGAAATAAAAAAATGACAAGTTTATTTACGATAAGAATAAAATAATATTACCAACTTAAGTTAAAAACTTAGGTAAGTAATTAATTACCTACTGTAAGTAATAATAAATTAACAAAAATAATACTTGTGAATTATGACATGTTACGTCTGAGGCAGCAACTAGATTAAATTTTTCACCGTTGTATTTCTGGGTAACAAATATGCTAGTAGTGAAAAAAAATATAAAACACGGTAGTGAAGATTTTTATAGCCTCGAATTTATTAAACAGCTCGATTAGAAAAAATTTTGGAACACTTGTCAAAGAACTAAATGTCTATTTATATAAAACAGGAAATGTATAATATGTGGTAAAAAGCATTCGTATTGGTCGGCTCTACTCCACCCTTAAATTCTTCCTTGTAGAGGGCTTGAACAAGCAAAGACAAGTTCAGAAACAGAAACGGGTGTTTAACCGAACTGCTCTCACAAGTTATTAAATTAGTGCAGTAATTATGTATTACAATAGAAACAGTACAATAAGTAAGTAGTTTTTTGTGTATGTATATGAAAATTACTAAAAATTAAAGACTAAAACTAACATTTTCGTAAAAAAATAGTCCAAAAATAACTATAAAGTAAGCTTACATTTATTGAATTTTAGTTTTTAATTCTCTTAATATATTAATCAAAAATCTGCACATAGGTATTTTCTAGGATATTGTCTACAAATTTAATTTATTAATTATTAATTAACTCAAAATATTTAGCGAAATTTTTTTATTGAAACAATTTTCTTGAATTACTAAAAGGAAATAAAACATGTCGGTTTTTGAAAAGCACACATTCAGCGGATTTTAGTTTTTAACTTTCTTAAAATATTAATCACATGTGAATATTTTCTACTTCAAATTTTTCATTATTAATTAACTCAAAAAATTTAAAGAAGATTTTTTTTATTGAGACAATTTTCTTCAGTTACTTAAAGGAAATAAAACATTTTGTTATTAGAAAAGCTTACATTTACTGGAATTTAATTTTAACTTTCTTAAATGTCAATCACAAATCTGGACCTATGGATATTTTTTACAAATTAAATTTTTAATTGTTATTAATTACTTCAACAGATTTAGAGAAGAAATTTTTATTGCGACAGTTTATAATAATAATAATAATAATAGCATTTATTGACGGTAATTACCTTTTACATCATTATAAGAAAAAACAAAGATACAGCAATAAGTAACAAAATCTGCTGGGAGGTGAGTTGTACTATTTATTTATTCTTCATTTTTACAATAAAAGAGTTCGAATTTCAATATTTATGTCGGCTTTTACAATTCTGGACGAATTCTAAATAAGTGATCAGTAGTAAAATTACTATGGTTGCTTTGGTATTAACAATGCTCATTGTAGTGATAGGCATGTTGCTATAATTAACATTTAAAATTCAATATCTTTTAATTTAGCTATTCTAGATATCAAAAGCTATTTTTTTAGATAGACAATTTATCAGTCTATGAGGTGCAAAAATAAAAAATAGGGTGCTCCATTAAATTTTTTTAAGTTATTTAAATTTAACAAACTTCAAAATTATTTTAACTTTTCGACTGCAATACATAAAAAAAATGTTTTAATCTTAAAGTTTGTACTTTCCTCTTTACAGTGGTAATTTTTTTTCCAGCTGTCTTAACTTTTTGTGTAATGTATTTTTAAAAAGAGGATGTTACTGCCAAAAAACATATGGTGTTTCATTTAAAATAACATAAGTTTGTATTGCAATTTATTTTTTGTCCACCGTGTGTGATCTTAAATTGTTTATTTGAAATGCGCTTTAGAATATAAATAAAGTCTACAAGATATCAAAATTCTCACTTAAATAATAACTGAGCCACCGGAGCTGAGATGAATCACCCTGTATAAAAATGTGATTGTATTTTGAGAACGGAGTTTTGTTTTGTTTTTGAGTTATACGATTTTTTTTCTTGAAATTGCAATTTATGTATTTTTTTTTAAATTAAATATAAAGTAGATAGTTGTAATCCTTAGAATCTCTTAGATCATAACTTTCATGAGAAAAATGATTTTATAGTGAATTGCCATTAAAAAGAAAACATTTGTAGAACTCAAAATGGCAACTCAAAAAAAAACAACTTTAAGATAAAAAACAAAGTCATTTTTTAACAAGAATAACTATTATTCAATTAATTAATTAATTGTCAAAGTGACATTGTTGTCAAAAAGATAAAACAGCTAATGTGATGATAGAAGGCATATACTAGAAAAAAATTACAAGTCCAACATCAAGAGAAAAATGAGCTTTTTTTTTCACTGAGTCAGAATATTGCAGTTTTAATTACAGATTTGCTCGTTTCAGGTGAAACAAAAAATGTTTTTCCTTTGCAGTTTTGGCGTAAAATCAAACATTTTTTTTTCCTCTTGTAAACTCAATCCGAGGAGATACTGTATAATATGTATTATCAACTTTTGTTACATTTAGTTTAAAAAATAAATACATTTTGAAATGTTTCTCAAAACATTAGGACCATACGTTATCATTATTAACTTTTATTTTATTTTATTTAGTGTTATTTTATATTCGTATTTTTGTTGCAGAGAAAATGGTTTATTACTTCTGCCTCTCCCTAAAATCTCGCAAAAAAACTCCAAAAACAGTCGATTCCAAATACCACAGCGTCTTAAACACCGTTTTAGAAAATTTGCGGGTTTTTAAAAGAGAAAAGACCAAGAAACCCGTCAAAATCCTAAAACTTTTAGACAAAATTATCCCAAAATCGTACTTTGGAACAACGTCAAACCGCAAACGTTTCTACAAAGTGGTTGAAAAAATTCTAACACAATCGAGATTTGAATGTATGCATCTGTCAGTACTCTACAAATACTACGATTACGACGAAATTCCTTGGTTGAAGGACTTTGAACCGAACATCCAGCACAAGATTCTACAACAACACAACTTATTTCTTCTCGACTATGTTGTCAAACCTTTGATTGCGTTTTATTACAAACCTGTGAGAACTTTAAATGGATACGAAATTAAATTTGTACGAAAAGAAAAATTTCAATCATTCCAAAGTAAAATATTTCATAAAATGAAAAAAATGGAATATTTAATTGAAGTCAAAGACGACGACTACGTGAAACCACGTGGCGTCTTGATCATAATTCCAAAAGAAGACAATTTCCGTGCACTTGTTAGCATTTTCCCAGATCCGGGGAAAAAATCTTATTACAAAGTCCTAACTTCGAAAATATACAAAGTTATCGAAGAAAAATTTAAGAAAAAAGAGTCCCTCTACAAGTATTGGTCAGAATTTACCCAAAAAACACAAACCCCAATTTATGGTATCAAAATCGACATCAGAGACGCCTACGGAAACGTGCAAATTCCAATTCTTCGTAATTTAATTTTGTCCCTTCCGACCCAATTCCTCAATAAGGAGGAGAAAAAATTCGTTATAAACCACATCACCAACCAGTTTGTCTCCTTCCGGAGAAAAACCTACAAGTGGAACCACGGATTGCTACAGGGTGATCGATTATCAGGCTGTTTGTGTGAACTCTACTTGGCGTTCACAAATGACATTCATTTTCCCGTTTTTGACGACGATGGTTTTGTCCATCGAACAGTTGATGATTTTTTTTATTGTTCGCCACACCTTGACAAAATTTACCGTTTTGGAGAACACATCCGATACGCTCATCAGGTGAATTCTACCAAAACTCGAACAAATCTATCAACTTTTCACCATCCACAAGATGAAATTCCCTACTGTGGTAAAATTTTCAATATGACGACGCGACAAGTGAGAACTCTATATAAAGTTACTCCACAATTCGAGATACGTCACAAATTCAGACTTTGGAATTTTAAGAATCAAATCGGTGATGATAATCCGAGGAGATTTTTAGAAAAAGCGATGGAGTTTTCATTCATTTCAAACAGTTTGACAAAATTTGAAATGAATACAGTTTTCAATAACCAAAAGACAGTTCTTGAGAATTTTTACGATGCAATGATTTGGGTTGCTTTTAAGTTTGACGCTGCTGTTATGGCATTAAGGTCCAGTTTTTTGAACTGTGATTTTAGTTATATTTGGATAGTTTTGAAGTCGACTATTGGGACGTATTCGTCGCGGGTTTTTAAGAGAATTGATAGGTTGAAGGGCGGTAACTATAAAAATATAACGTTTATATGCCTAAAAATCATAGCATGGAGGGCATTTCTTGCCGTTTTTAAACGCAGAAGTGTTATTTATCGAAAGTTAATTAATAAAATTAAAACTGGAACTAATTTGACTATGAAGTTTCATGACGACGAAGTGGAACCGACCTATTTTTGTACATTGCCGGAAAAATTTCGGTGTCTCAAAATTAACAGGAAAGCCCCAATTTAAGTTTTTTTATAAGTGTTTTGTTTAATTCATAACTTTTATTAAGAATAATTGTTTAAATAAAATAAATGTGTGTTGTTAAAATTTGTACAATTTGTTTTAATTAATTATTTTTTGCTCCCACGTTTATATCAATTTTAAAAACAAATTTTGCTGTTATGTTGAAAATGCTGTTCAATTTAATAAAAATTTCATTCTCTTTTCCCTTTGCGATGAAACAAATTTTATGTGTATTTAAAGGTAAATAGTGGTTCTTTTTCTTCTTCGAAAAAATATAAGAAATGCTTCTATTTCGAAATTGTGTATGTGGTACGACTTTGATACCTTTGGTGTCTATCTGCTTCACAATTTACTCACCCTAGATCACATAAACCCAAGGAGATATTCCATACTTTTACACTTGAAAATTTTGCGATTTTTCGAATTAGTACAAGTAAGTATCGGGAACACATAAGCGAGGAGGTATTTTACCAGGTAAATAAAAAGTATGGAACCAAACGTTTTTGCTTAAACTATTTATTTTTTGGGACGACTAATTGATGAATGATAAAGTATTATAAAATGTGACGTCTCATCTAGAATATAATTTTTTGAAAATTTCTTGTGATTTTGAGTTCTACATTTTTTTTTATTTATGCTTATGATCTAAGGATTATAACTATCTACTTTATATTTAATTTTTATCAAAAAATATTTTTACATAAGTTGCCATTTTGAGAAAAAAAATCGCATACCTAACGCAAAAACAAAACAAAATTTCATCCGATCACATACGATCACATTTTTTATATTAGATACTTTATTCTATTTTAGTCAATAATCATTTTTACACGGCTCCAAATGAGTGCATAAATTGGTTTTTATGGCACAGATCTGTCAAAAATCTGGCAAGCAACGGTTGGTTTAATTATTCAAACAATATGGTATCAAAACTTGTCATATTCTTTCACATACAAATCCCTTGATTTATGAGGAATTAATTTTCCCTGGGCAGTTTCAGATTCTTGTAAAATTTCTTCTGAATAAACGCTTTTTGCTTCAGAAACCTTCATTTCGAAAAATGAATTGTTTTTTAAACAAACGCAGTAACCTTAACAACATCAAAATAGCGAACTTTCTACACAACACTACAATTTGCATTTTCGTTAATTTCCTTTAAGGAACACGGGCGTAATTGGTGATTATGGCCCTTGGGAATTTAAAAGCTCTCGTTCCTCGAGCTTTAAACATTCCCTCATGCCATAATCTCATAATTATGCTCTTAATACATAAATAACAATTAATTTATATTAATTATTTTCTGGAGGCAAATGATTTAAAAAAAACCGCTTGGTTTCATACTTTTTATTGAGCCTGTATAATTTTGAAACTAAAAATTTTTCAGTTTTTACAAATATCAGGAATACATAAGCTCAAGGAGGTATCCATTTTTTAAAAGTAAAAATTGTGCGATTCTTTTAAATATCACGAGTAAGTATTAAGATTACACAAACACCAGGAGGTATTCCATATTTTTGAAATTGAGAATTTTGCGATTTTTACAAATATCAAAAGTAATATTAGGATCGCATAAATTCTATATTTTTAAAACTAAAACTTGTGCGATTTTTTTAAATACTTATCAGGAGTGAGAATTAAGATCACATAAACGTCTGGAAGGTATTCTATATTTTTAAAGCCAAAAATTGTACGATTTTTCTAAATATCAAAAGTAAGTATTAGAATCACATAAACGCAAGGAAGGATATTTCATAATTCTAAAATTTAAAATTTGACAATGTTTCAAAATATCAGGAAGAAGTTTTAGGATCACATAGACGCAAAGAGGAAACAACCTATTTTTTCAGAATAAAACAAATAATTGTAAAAGATATGAATTTATTACGATCATTACATCAATTATTGTCCATTTCACTTGTAAAAACAAAATAAAGATCATATTTATGTTAAAATTCCAAATCCCAATTTGAAAGCTCATCTGGAGGAATGTCGTTATCTTTTCCGAAACAGTCAAAATTGTTTGTATCACAACAACCTCTCACTGGTTGTCTAATGGGTGAAGGTAGTGTTTGATTGATTAAACCATCCCAATCAAATCCTTGAAACCATCTAAAACCAACATTTTACAAAACTAAAAATCATAACTCAAAGAAAAACATACTTATGTTTTTTAATATCTTGTATTCCACCTTTTTGATATCCTAATCTTTCTGATGGTAAATCACGACACAATTTCTTGATAAGACTTTGTGCTGCTCTTCCAATATGATGTTTGGCAAAATCAATCATGTCAATCCCTTTTAATATTAAATTGTAAGTTTTCATTGGATCTGAAGCTGTAAACGGTGGACTAAAAATTGTTTCATGTATTCCAGAAACTAACAAATATTTACCTAGTGTTTTACTTACTTTCCTGTTAACAACTCATGCATTAAAATTCCAAGAGCCCAATAGTCCACAGCTCTATCATGTCCCTTGTTTAAAATAGTTTCAGGAGCTACATATTCAGGGGTCCCACAAAAAGTCCAAGTTTTGCTACTATACCCCAATCTTTTCGAAAAGCCAAAATCAACAAGCTTGACATAACCATTGGCGTCCAAAAGTAGATTTTCCGGTTTTAAATCTCTGTAAATTATCCCTCTACTGTGCAAATAATCAAAGGCTTCCAAAACGCAACCAGTGATAAATTTCGTCGTGTCTTCATCAAAACATCCTCGATCTCTTAAAATCGTCCAAACTTCTCCTCCCAAACAAGCCTCCAACAACATATAAACATATTTCGAATCCTTGAACGTTTTGTACATTCTGCAAATAAAACTGCTTCGACAACTCATCATAATATTCCGTTCACTGAAGATATGATCCTGTTGTTGGGTATCCACAATATGTTGCTTCTTGAGGCACTTAAGACCGAATGTTAACGATGGGTTGTGCACATACTGAACCAATTCAACACGACCAAAACCTCCAATCCCAAGTGTTGCAATCACTTCGAGATCATCTAAATTGATAAAATCGTATTCTTGCTTTTCGGTACAAGTTGAACTGATTTTGCTTCTTTGTTCATCACCATAATCTTTTTCTTTGATTTCACTTAAGTCTCCAATTAGTTGTTTAAAAGATTCTCGGTCAAGAGTCAAACATTCCACTCCTGGGTTCATCGCAATTATGTTGGCAGTCCTGCAGTCTTCTTTTAGTAAAGCTTGTTCACCGAAATAATCACCACGTTGAAGAATTCGGATTTCTTCTTCATCTTCCATTGAACCTTGTTTGCGTTGTGTGACTTTAACACTTCCACTGCTTATGATAAAGAAGGTGTCACCGTTGGCACCTTGTCTGATTATATAAACACCTGCAGGATAAAATTCCTAGAAGGATCTCGAATCAGAGAAGATTTAACAACTTTGAAATGACATACGACTTCAAGAACATCTGCAATTTTAGCCAAAACTTCGTTACTGAGATTCTGAAGAAGAGGAACAGATCTGAGGAAATTGATATTGTCTTGTAATCTCTGAAGTCCGGTTCGAACCATGATTTGTTGAAACACTTTTCGGTCCAAGACCCAGACTTTTGAATCAACAACAACTGGACAAAACATTATTTTTAAGATTTTCTTCAAAGTGGAAAAATTTACCCCTAATTGAAGCAGTTCTTGTGCAATTATATAAAATGGCCAACTCTCCGAAAGCTTTCCCTGGTCCCATGTGCCCTAAGACTTTATCTTCTTTCATAACTTCAAAATCACCCTCAGCTGAGACAAACAAATGCGCCCCTGCTTCTCCTTCTTTGATCACATAGGAACCTTGAGGATACTCTTTGAGATACATACAATCGACTATTTCTCTCACTTGTGATGTATCTAAGTTTTGTAAAAAATTATTGTCCATGATGGCGTCTTTGATAAGTTGTTTTGATCTATAATTGCATGATTTGAGTAATTGAGGAGTAAATTGCGTGCTTACCTGAAATCTTTATCATGTTTTGGAATGGTAATGTCGCTTGCTTGACCGGTAGATTCACTTGATTCGGCTGATACACCTTGTTTTTTCAAACAACAACTGTTGTTGAGAGATTGTTGACTTTGTGGAGCTCGGTTTGCCATTGCGTGCTTTTCCTGAAGGCTCGTGAGAATATCTCCATCGTGGATAAATGTTGTGGTTTGCTGAAGGACGCTCTGAAATATCGATCATTTTTTTACCAAATAAGGCAGAATTATGTTTAGTGTTGGAGTTGCATTTAAAAAAAATCAGAATGTTTCAGCTACGAATGGGACAATTCTGTGTTATTCTGTTAACTTCAAGATTTCTTTTGTAACGAGGGTAGTAATAAAGGAGTAATTAGTCACTTTCCCGTCAAGAATAAAAATATCAATAGATAAATAAATTATTCAAAGTACTCGCTGTAAATTTTTCTTTACTTGATAGTAAAATTCACGAAAGCGACAATAGTATGTATTTTTTAAAAAGCGACAGGTCTTATTAGTTATTTTTAGGTTTTTTTTTTTGGTAGCTGCTTTGTTGGAGTATATCATCAACATTCTAGATTTGATTCCACAATAACTTGTTTAAAATTTCGGGATATGGTGAGAGCATGAAAAAAATGAGTGAAAAATACGGTGAACAAATCAAGGAAATATCAAGGAAGATCAAGAAGGGCGTTTAAGTTATTTGATAATAAAATGACAAAACACGCAAAACTGGTTTTTATTTTTAAGTATCTTCCATTTAAAAAAATATTTATTTTTTTCAATAATAATAATTAAGCCATGAAATTTGGAAGTCAAAATAACACACACAAAATTCCAAATCAATTTAAACAAGTTTGAGTTGGAATGAATTTGAAAGTTAAAAAATGGAACTGAGAATAAAATTTTCATTTCTTTTTCGGTTTCTACAACATTAATGTGGCTAACAGAAATTTTCAGTACGTTTGATAATTCCAAGAAACATGTTATAGTAAAACATTTTTACTTATTTTTTTTTCTGAATTCTTCGTCACACACCATTTTACATAGTATAAACCTTTAGGTTATTTGTTGTGCAACGATGAACCAGCCGTAATTTTCTTAACCTTTTCAATTATACACATTTTCACTGAAAATAATGTTTCTAAGAAATTTGTTCTTAACAAATCTTTCTTGTAACGAATCGGTAGTTGATTTTCAATATGTAATTTTTAGTCGCGATTTTAGGTTTAATTTCCATTGTTATCAAATATTGAAAGATTGAGGGATGATGGAGAAAATTTGACTTCTGTAACATTATGACTTTGTTTCTTTCTATCTAATTTATATTGGGAAATAGTATATTACATCACAAAGGAGAGACTAGATTTTTAAAGCCAAGATGCGCGTAGCTTCGCTTCGCTAGAGGAGACCTTTTTTCCATCATATGGTATAGTACATGAAAAATAAGTCCTTTTAAACTTGAATGAAACGTGAGTTTTTTATAGCTATTAATAAGTATAACGAGAATAATTAATTAATCGAGGACGATGCTAGGTGACGAGGCTAGCTGAGTCACCTGCGCAGCGTCCGAGATGGTTTAAATCGCTAATATTCGAATTATATTTCAAGCTTTATCATATGATCAACTTTTCTTGTTAACTCTGTTGGAAAAATTTTAGATTTGCAAGATAATTGGGTAGACACGAGGGACAATATGTCAAAGTCGGTATCAAAAATTGATAGATTAATGGAATGTTTACTATGATGACACGATAAAAAAATATTTTAACAGTATAACAAAATTTTAACTATTGCTCTTTAAGATCATGAACATTTTTTTTGTGAATTATAAGCCAGAAGTAGATGTAGAATTATTTGAAATGTTTAACTTGTCTTTCCTTGTGTATTAAACACTTTTTTTTTCCAAAATCGTTACTAAAGTTACATAAAATTTTCAATAAAAAGTCTAACAAAGTTCGCACAAAAGTAAATCATTATCATTATACTACAATTTTGTGTATTCTGGGTTTCGAACATTAATAACAGTGTTGTGGACTTTAGTGCCATAATACATAAATAATTGTTATGAAGTGAAATAACTATTATTAAATGAATTTTAATCGTATGGATTGTGATAATTTATTAATCTCCTAAATCTCCAGAATGAAGGTATACTTAAGTGGCAATCACATTGATTTTATAAAAAAACATACTTTTTATTGCTTTCGATCATCTAAATTATCATTATCAATCAAATCTGAGAATGATTCTCGAGAGCTGTATTAAATTGGTGACATCACTTATCATTTAGATCTAATGAATTTGATTTGATAATAGTGCATAAACAACGTGCAATGACCCCAATTTTTAAAATCTTAACAAAATCGCTGAGCACATTTAAATTTAAGATGTGTTTTGTTCTACATTTATTTTATTTTTACTTTATATGGGCAGATTTAATAAAGTTTATGCTTGTTTCTAAATAATAATTATTATTATCATTGGTTATTAAACCAAGGATATTTTATTTTTAAATCTCTCAGAAAATAATATAATAATGAATAAAAATTTAAGTAATAGTATATTGTGTAATTAGGAGTAAAAGTGTCACAGAATTTTTTAAATATTTTTTCCATGTTAAAAATCTCGGTTTATTAAATTTATCGTTCTCTAACGGTCGCTCATAAACTTAATTTTTATTTTATCATTTTATGATTTTGTCAATTACAGTAAAAGGCAAAAAAATGTACAATTTGAATTTTTTTTATTAAAAAAAACGAGTTTTGTTAAATTTTTCATCTTCTAATATTTACTTTTACAATTTTAACACAATTAAAGCTGTTTGTTTTTAAAAGACACTATTTATACTCTATTTAAACATAAAATAAATTATCGCATTAAAAATTGTTAAAATGTTAAAATTCTTGCAACTTGAAAATTCAATTAACAAATATGAAATATGATACATTATAAGAAAACAGTAATTTCCTCACTTTTTTCTCAAAATTAATTTTTTTAATGTTAAGAAATACCAGCTTGACAATACTAAAGACCATTTGAAGGTCGCCAACCATTTATTTCACTGCTTTGTTACAATAATCAATTGAAAAAATAATGAGTGACTATCACTTGGGAAGTCATTTTTGTGTTTACCAACATTAGGAGCCCATCAAATGTTAGAAACGATGTTAGAAATGATTTTTCATTTAGAAAATTTAGGTTTTCATGTAGGTACAGAATTTTATAAGCAGAAAATTTTACGATGTTAATAGAATTACAATCGTAGCCACTTTATTACATTATTCAAGGGTGAATTTTCGGTATGTTAACACGCAACTATTTTCTAGTCTTTTCCTCAAAATCAAGGGCCAACGACTTTTGACTAATACAAGTCTAGCGTGTTAAGTACGTTCTTAATTTAGCACATCTTGATTTGAAATTCACACTTTATCTGATTCGTTACTTTTATCTGTGTATCGAAACTGTCAAAATTATAAATACTATTGTAAAATGTAGATAGTGTTTTGTAAAGGCATGACGCCAACAGCATGACATTTAAATAATACATTTGATAGTATTGTAGTAGAGAAGTATGGAAAGCGGTTCCATTTTCTTTGAATTGAAGGCAACACAATAATGTGACAACAATACAACTGATATTAAACTCACCTTGAGCTTATGAATTTCTCTTTGCAATTTTAGAACTTCGCTTTCTTTGCAAGTGAGCTCTCTTCTAGTTTCGTAAAGTTCCGATTGCAGCGTCCCATACTTGACTTCCAGTTCCGAAAGTTCTTTTTTTAATCTCGCGATAATCGTTTTCAAATAATCGTTTTCTTCTTGTGCTCCGGAATGCCGGTCAATAAGACTCCGGGAATTCTTCCGAATCTGTTGGATGACATCGCCATCGATCGAGTTCTTGGAGCTCCTCCGGAGGGTCGTAGCCACGCCGTTGCCCATAGGACCGAAGATTCCAAAATCGCTGAGAAACTTCTTCGCCTCTTCGTCCTTACTAGCACTGCTTTCGTAGGCTAAAGCGTTATATTTGTGGTAGTCGAGGTTGGATTTTTTGATTTCCTCCAAGTCGAGCGATTTGGCGAGATTTGATCTATCACAAGTTTCCTTCGGGAGTGCCACCGGAATGGGGAAAGTAATCTCCGGATGGTTTAAATAAACGTTAGCTTTGATGACGGTTTTCTTCGAGGTGTTGTTGATTTCTGGGTTGGAGAGTCGTTTGGTGTCGGCTCTCGGGTAGATGGTGGCTATGACCGGCGTGGAGCCCCTCTTGGAGGGGCTGGGGGGTGGCTCAGGGGTTGAGTAGGTCTGCACGAGAGGCGTCGAGGAGTCATTGTTGCAGCCGCACTTGGCGTATAAACTGCCGCACGTGTGTGACTTTTTGAAGAGGGCGCGGGCCTCCTCCGGAAAGGATTCTTTGCGCGCATGGCCAATCATCGTTGACAGTTCGCTGACTGAGGCGGGATACACATTCAAACTGTACGATTTTTCCACCATCAAGTTATTTATTTGCTTCATCGAGGATGGCGGTCGCAACTCAACCATTAGGAAAACTTTCAATTATTATTTTCGTCACACTGAAAAGTAAACAAACACGTGGAAATTTACAGGTTTCAGTTTCAATATTTTTGTAAACAAGGACCGTAAGTCACTAACTTATTACATGTTATATAAAACATTGTTGAGTTTATGAAAAACTTCTATTCAGACAACTTTCAACAAAGTTGCGCTTGTATTCAAACAACCAAATTATTTTTCACTGCTATTACGCAAATCTTTCAAATTCCTTTGAACTCTAATAAATTTAAATATACTAATTACATTCGTGATTGATATACACCATAATTTGTAACGTCAATTCATATGCCAATAAAAATAGTTTCCGCTTTTTTTAATTTTGCAAGGCTGAAAATAACGAAAGCAGTTTATTTGAAAATAAATAGCATAGAATTTATAATTTTATACAGGCTGTTTTAGAACTAGCGCCTTTGACTCTACTTATTTCTGTTGAAAAAATTATTTTACCTGTTTTTTATCAAATCAAAATTTTGTTTTTATCAATATCAAATGTCAAAACTTTTTGACTAATAGAGTTTTTTTAAACATTTTTTTTATGTTCCTGGTATCTTATCTTACTTAGAATTCTTCTCTGGGGCTCGCGTTCTGAAATGTATGTATGTCCATGACTTCAGTAATAAAGTCTTTTTTTTTAAACGGAAATCAAAAAAATGTCAGTCGGCACTTTTCAGGAATTCGGACTGTAGAGAAAACACTTGAAGAGATTGAGAAAGTATTTAGAAATGCCAGCTAAAAAACTCTCCAAAAATTCTTAGTAGAATGCTCAAATATAAATATGCCAATCGACATTTTTTATAACATCGTGCTGTTATAAATGCTAAAAATGGTTTTATAGTGACTTGCCATTTAAAAATAAAAAAACATAATAAAAGAGGAAAGAAGGAAGCTGTATCCTAAATTGTAACTCTGTTTAATGTTATTTGTGGCTTTTATTGGAAATGTTTTTGTACCTTTACTAGATAATTATAAAAGTTATTTTTTGTTGAAATTGGCCCATGAGTACCTAAAATAACCGTTTTACGTACTATTTTATTGAGTCCGGAAAAGACTCATTTTAGGGACTTAAATTAGTCCCTAAAACAATTGTCTTCGGGAGGGTATACAAAAAATCATACACTGTGTCAATTTAAAACTTGCAATCGTCAATATCTTTCAACTGAAAAAGTTATTGAGAATCTCTCAAAACCCGTTTGGTAGTTCTTAGGAAGAATCAAAATGACATGGTAAGTGACGCACCTCCACCCACCCTTGAATACAATAAAAAAATAAAAATTTAAAGTCTTTGTTTTTGAATAATTGGAAAAACGCCTTTACTAAATAGGCTGTTGTATGATATTTTTGAAAAGCGCTTGTTATGAGCTTTCCAACGATGTATCACAAGTAAGGTTGTGCCATTTAAAATTTTCAATTTGGGGTGGCTGTGGCTTTAAGGGTGGGTGGAGGTGCGTCACTTACCATGTCATTTTGATTCACCCTAGGAACCACGATTCTCAATAACTTTTTCAGTTCTGCCGATTGCAAGTTTTAAAATTGACACCCTGTATACAAGATCATCAGTATCATTAAATAGACATAAAAATACCAAATGTCAAAAAATATATGTCAAAAATTTTTGACAAATAGAATATTTTAAACATTTTTTGATTTTTAAATGTTTCTGATATCTTACCTTACTTCAATTTTTCTCTGGGGCGCGAGTTCTGACACACTCTGTATGTGTTTATAAACTTCATAATTTTTAAAAATAAAGTATGACAATTTTACAATTACAAATGCCTACTTTAGTTTCACAATAAAAAATGTAGATTGTTTTACAAGTATAAAAAACAGAAGGTTTATTAGCTACTAATCAAAGTTGTGTTTTCACAAAAGATGTGTCACATGATTATAAAACTGTTACATGAAGTTTTGCTCGAACATCCTCCCAAAATATTAGCAGCAACTCAAAGGTCAAAGCTCAAGAAGCAACTAACTACGAAGTCGAGAAAGAAATGATTAATAATTTTATTCACGACGGTTAAATAATAATGTAATTATATGCGTATCCACAGTCAAATCATTTAGTTCATATTAATCTAGTGGAATATAAAGTCATATTCCACGACTCTTCTCTTTGACATTTTTATTGATTAAATTGAAATGTCAACTTTATCAATACCAAAAATCAAAAATATTTTATAATAATAGATAAAGCATAATATTCTACTAGGATATAATGTCTTTTATTCACTCAGGTGATTAAAAATCTCATATTTGACTCGTTTTTTAAACTTATTATTATTTAATGGTGTGACAGTTTAGTTTATTAAAAAAAATTGAAAAGATGGTAACTATACGAGGTGAACAAAAGTATGAAATCAAACGTTTTTTTAATTATTTGCGTCCAGAAAATAATAATTAATGAAAATTAAAGTTCTATAAAAATGTGATCGTGTTTTGAGAATGAAATTTTTTTGCTTTAGTTATGCGATTTTTTTAATGGCAATATAAATATATGAAAAAAATTCTATAAAAAGTGAATAAAATGTACATAGTAATCTTTAGATCATAACCTTAGTAAAAAAAAGGTTTTGTAGTGAGTTGCCATTTAAAAAAATTAAAAATTTTCAGAACCTAAAAGAAAACAAAAATTCTATTTTTGAGAAAGGACATATTTTTATAGCATTTTATCATACCCCATCAGTTTTTTCAAAAAAAAATTGTCATTTGGCTCCATACTTTTTGTTCACCTGCTAATTAAGATTAAGTTTTCCTTTCAATGACCCAAAATAACTGTCTCCTCGTTATGTAAATAAAAAGCTTTATATAAAACAAATAAAATAGCTTCTATGTATGTATGTGTGCGTCATGGAATCATTTAGGCCGTCCTCAAAAAGTAGATTTGAAGTTTTATTGCTTTTATCGTTTCCATCACGTGCTAATTGTATATGACTGCAACTAAACTTTGTATCTAAGTATCAGGAATAGAAAAAATTATGTCTAAAAATAATTTTTCGGTAGCACTAGTTGATAGTAATAGTTTAAGAATGAAAAATATTTATCGAGTAAAAAATATCAATATCGCAGCGTTCAACGCGTTCTTTAACGTTTTCCCAAATTGATATTATATGGCATCCCTTTGTTATAGAAATATTAGAATCTTTGACCTGTTGCTCAGCCAAAGCCTTGTAGGTTATCTGTTTGTGTTGTTTAACAATGAATCGGTAATTTGCATTTTGCGTAAATACGATATTTTTATAACAACATTTTTCCTTTGTTGCTATAATTGTGCGCCGTACCACTCTTTACAAACTTTTGCATGAAAAGAAGAATGGAAATTTCACAGACACCCACTCTTAAATGAATTTTGTGAATGTAATCGGAGCCATTTAGTAAACTCACTGTCACTGACATATATAGGCTGCGCCAGAACTACCAGGGACATGGAAAAAATGTTAAAAAAAATTATCTATAAAAATTTTGAAGTTATGAGAGTTTAAATTTTGAATTTCTGTTGGAAAAATAATTTTCCAAGTTTTTTTGCTAGAGGCTATTAGAAGAAGAAACAAGGGAGCTTTATTCTAAATTGTAACTCTGTTTTAGGTTATTCGTGGCATATAAAAATGTCAAATGTCAAAATTTTGTGACAGAATTTTTTAAACATTTTTCCATGTTTCTGGTATCTTATCTTAGTTGAAATTTTTCTCTGGGGCCCGAGTTTCTGACACACCCTGTATATGCCAGTAGTAATAGTATACTATGTCATAAGGTAGAGAAGATATTTTATAGCAGAGTTGTTTATTACCCCAGATGCGTAGGAAATAATAAATGCGAAAATATAAAACTCTTCTATACCATGTTTTATATAATATTTTTTTTACTACTAGCTCATTTATTACCCAAAAATAGTACGGTGAAGAATATAACCTTACTCACTGGACAAGTTGATTATTTTATTTTTATCGTAAATGAGGTTATGTCATTTTTTTACTTATGCATCTATTAAAGAAATTTTCTAACTTCATAATATGAAATACTTGTTAAAACAAATAGCAACTGCAAAGAAAAGGGAAAATTTGGTTAAATCTGCCCTACTACAGATAGTATTTCAACATGAAATAAGTTAATAAGTAAATAAGTTAAGAGTTTTAACAAAGACAGAAAATTAGAGGTGGTATTATTTTGATGTATTTTTAATGAGGAAGTTTCAAGACTTTTTGTATTTGTATCAATATAATATCCTCCAATATCGGTATTTACCCACCTCCTAATACATTACTGCTGTTAATAATGAAGATGATTATTGAATCCCGGGAGAGAAAAACAACTTCACAACCGTTCGACAAACTAGTAGTGAAAAATTATGTATATGTTAGGATGTCGACTTTTGTTATTATTATAATGATGTAAGAAAAATCTTCGTGGCCAAGGTGACCAAGCAGCTGTGGTAAATGATCAAATAGATTAAAACTATGTGAAAATTGAATTAGCTCTCAACCGCAAAACTAATTTATTTTGAAAATTTGTCATACCCGAACATAACAATAATAAAAAATGCTGAAAATTGATTATGTTAAATAAAATTTTGCATTCAAGTAATTTTATTTTACAAAATTAGAGAAAAGTTCGCTTACCTGGGAGGAAGTCGGTAGACATTTGGCAAAATTTATAGTTAGGAAAATCCTCAAAAAAATCAATCACACAGACACTCGACGAAAATGAACAAAGTGAGGTTATTTATAGAGTCATTGAACAAGTTGTCAAGTACTTAAAATAAAAACAGTGAAGTTGCGTTAGGTTGGCTCAGTGTAACAAGCGCTCATGTAATCTGACAAAGTAGATTTCATCTAATTCACTATTCCCTATCGACCTCGCTCTTCTCATTATAGCCAACACTATCAGATCAGTGTAATCTTATCATTGTTTAAAAATAGCGTTTAATGTAGATCAAATGTTTGTATTTACCTACTCTTTTAATACTTTCTGTATCTACCTATTGTTTTGTGCAGACAAAATTTTACTATAACGTTGTAATATGTATATTGCTTCTGGGTTGGCACTCTTAGATCACGTGGATAAAATATTATTTGCTTAATTAACTGAAAATCCTTATCACGTTCTGTCGACATTTTCGGTATTAATTTAGCGTATGCTTTGGTACCCACTAAATTTGTATCCTCAGATGAAAAAATTTAAAAAAGAGTATGCATGTAGAAGATATTTACTGTACGTGTCAATTGTTACTTCCGCCGATTATTAGTACTTTACGTTCATTTTGTTTATATGAATTATACAGGGGATGGTTCAAAACTCGCGCCCTAGAGCAAGCCCAGGTATCAGGAACATGGAAAAAATGTTAAAACAATTGTATCTGTAAGAATTTTGAAATTATAGGGGTTAAAATTTTGCAATTTGACACTACTTGATTCTCTTGGAAAAATATTATTACATGTTTTTTGCTACAGGCTATTGGAAGAAGAAACAAAGAAACTATATACTAAATTATAACTATGTTTAACGTTATTTGTGGCTTTAATTGTACCTTTACTGAATAATTATATGAAATAACATATTCAAGACTATTGGTAACAATATTAATAAATAGACATAAAAAAGGTTAAATGTCAAAAAAAACTTTTGACAGATAGAATTTTTAAATATTTTTCTCTACTTCCTCTGGTAATTATACTACCACGTAGTGCTCCGTTAGTACGCTTTTTTTGGGGCACCTGTAGATGCAATTGATGCAAAATATTTATAATTTGAATTCATCAGATACTTTGCTTAGAGACTCGTATATTGTGAAAAATTATGAAATAGATAATTTAATCTCATATAATCAAAAACAAAAATAATTAATAATGATATCTAGGTATATGGATTAGTACCTAAAGGGGTGTGGGTGTGTATATAAACGTTTATAATTGTTTATACAGGGTGACCCAGGGGTGTGTCTATAACTTTTCTACTATTTGATGTATTAAGATGCCGTTTTCAACATCCGGCAGATTTTCTTAAAGTGCACCATTTAAAAATATTTTTCTTATACAAGGTGATTCACGAGAAATAATGTGCCTGACCAAATTCTCGATGCAACCAACATTACATTTTCATAGGTTAGGTAGATTTCAAAGATTTTTTGTAATAAATATGAAATCATAGCGAGCACACTTACAATTTGTCAATTTTGACATTAAAATAATGAAAAACAGAAGTAATTGAAATACCAACAGAATAATGGGTATATTAAGGCTCCAGACCGTCTGAGAGCTGGCGTATACCTATTATATGACATTTATTTCACTGTTTTAGCCGCCAATTTAGACTTGAAGAGTCTCTTGATGTTTGTAGTGTTTCTTTAAAGGTAAATACACTTCCATATAATATTCCCGCTTTAAATAAATTAATAGATATTTTTTGTTGAATAAAATGTGAAAATCTTAATTATTAAGATTCTTTGATATCAGTATACCGTATTGTATAAAAAAAAACATTTTATAGGTAATGAAAAAATACACTTCTTTATAATAATGCGAATTTGATAACTGTTCTTGATTTTTTGATATAAAGCAAAAATTAAATTGAAAGTAGGCAACTCTTAATACACATTTCTTCAACTTCTGAATCACCCGAAGTAAGATTTACAACCAATTTATTCAATACATTGCAGTCATTGCACACAGGCTTGGCTCAGCCCTGTGTAGTTGCTTCGCACGTGACATCATGCGCCGAATTGAACGAGATTAAGCTGACTCCGTAGCATACCGGTATAAGTGTATCGTGATGTCTTCAAAATTTTTTGAGAAAAAAAGTACGCCCATGTATTTTTTTATCTTAACTAAGTGGGCGCACTACAAGTGTCTTTTTTGTCATTGTCAGTTCGCCACCATATATGGAATAAGCTCTATCCCTAGTGAAATTGGTATGAAGTGTTTTGTTAGTTGCATAGCATATGCAAGCCAAACGTGATCAAACCAACAAATAGAACAAAAGTTCTTTTTATTATGTTTTTGGAATCCGTTACTTTAACCAACTAATTTTTCTTGGTGTTATTCTACATTATGTAACTCATTAATTTAATCATTGACTCTTATACAACAGGTCGATTTTATTCGCTGATAAAACAGTCTAATCAGTGGATTATTGGGACCTCAGTTACAAAAACGATTTTGAAAGCAATAATATTTAGGTATCAATAAAAATTTCTACTGTTATTTATGCTTTATTCAGTTATATTAATACTCGTAAGTACTGAGGTAGGTAATGCAGCAAAAACATTTAACTGTACTGTTGGTTGCATTTTGACGAGTACTGCACTGAAGTACAACGAGTACTGGTAAATTGTGTAAAGATGTGCGATGATATTCTCAAAACCAGAGAGATGAAGAAAGAGAAAGAGATAGAGACGACGAAGATTCTCTATCTCAGTAGAACTTTGATGTGGAAACATATTCCTTGATGGAGGCAGTCAGAAAAGTGGTTTTGAGCCCCCCGAGCGAGCATGATCCTGTAGTGGAAAGGAATGGAGAAACGTCTGCGGAAACAAAGAGGACAGCCTTTCTCGGTGATGAAAGGCTGAATGACGATTCCGGGAGGTCGGGTAAGAGAAGTAGGAGAGGCAAAAATTCTTTAGGATCTCGGGGGAAGCTGGGGGACGGAGAAAAAAGAAGAAAGATTGTATATACAGCATGTTCTGACTAAACCCCACTTTAGAAGTATTATGAGTACTGGTAATTATTTTAAATTAAAAATTTTGATATGTATGTCATCTTTCAAGCCCGCAACCCACAGGTCCAATATACTGTCGATGTGTTATACAACTATTATGCACGAATGTGCGTGTGTCTCACATTTTTATACAATTAAAAAAAAAAATTTTTTTTTCGAGAATAAAGTTCATAATTATAATTTTTATGTTTCTTTTACTCAATTAGATTAATATCCGGAAATTTTATCAGATCGTTCTGATTTTTATATATCATTATTAAACCGTAACCATACCTTAACTATACAGAACTCATCAAAATTGTTTGAAGTTTTTCTCTCACTTATTTTTTTCACTGCACTCTATGATCACTTCTTTAGTTCGATACAACATCTCCCCTTTTCTTGGAGTTAATTTTTTTCAGGTGTGAGATGTGTCGAACAAACTTATGACCATCTGGATGCTGGACAGTTACTTGAAATCCTATCTGTCGCACAACTGTGTGAGGTGTTGAATTGAAAATTGATGTCAATTTTCTTTTTACCATACATTTTACTAACACTTGATCGCCTGGTTCGAATTGTGGATATGGTGTTAAGTATCTCTTGTGGTTTAATCTACTTTCATAAATGTTCTTATAAATGTTGTCAAACTGCTGGACTCGTTCGTCTGGGCTCATTTTTTTTAAATCTGACATTTTCAAGTTCTTTCAGCCGTGGCTTCGAGTTGTAAGCTACAATTTCTTTTTCTTGTTTGACGTTAACATTTTTCTGAACATTGAATTGCAAAAATGTCTTTCTCTTCAGCGACAGTTTGATGCTCTCGTTGATTTTTTTAGTTCTTCATTCTTGATTTTGAATTCATTTTTGGTTTTTGTGAGGTCCTTCTAAAGCGCTTTAATTTTTGACTAGTAGAAATGGACCATTCCCTTTGTTCCCATCTCCTCTACACTTTTAGACAAGTGTAATTCTCTGGATTGTATTGGCTTTGTATTTTTTATAATATCAAGTTTTTTTAATCGTTCGAACTTCTCGTTCCACTTTTTCACTCAAATGAAAAGGTATTCGATGTATTGCTTGTGCTGCTGTTGGCATGACTTTTGGATCTATATGAAAATGAACTTGATAATCCTTTAGTTTTCCAAGTCCACAAACTTCTGGACATTCTTGTAAGTATTAATTCGGTTTATCGATGCCAAAAGTGTTGATTGTTAGTTTTAACAATTAGCGGCAGCAATTTTTTGATAGTCAGGCTTAAAATTTGTCAGTGGAGTCCAGTTGTAACACAGATTCTTCTTTTACACAAAAATCAAATGTTTTTAACAGTTGTTATGTTGTCAGGGAGACGATGGCTATGGCGCTAGTATTATATTATATTATAGTATTATATATTTAGACCTGTACTATCACTTCTTTTTGTAATCACCATGTACACATAGTTCCTTAATGATTCATAAATAAATTTTTATTTTTAATGAATAATTTCTTGTTCATTAATATAAAAATGAATAGTGGCTTAATTTCGTATTTCGTATTTTATTTATTATTTTGTATTTTAATAAATAAAAGCTTGAAAATTTCTGAAAATAATACTGGGTTGTCGGTCGTTTGCGGGTGGTATCGCCGCCGATCGGTTTGGACGTCGGTCAGCACCGACGCCTTCACGAAATTAGTCATCCGCCGGCCTCTTTAAACTTTGCTTACACCACCGACAAAATTCCAACTGTCTCCTTTAAACAATGTAAGTCTCATGGCCTAACCACTGCTTATTCAATATATTTAACATAATATTAAAGAAATCGTTATTTCGGAGTTGGTATTTGCCACAATTTACAGAAAAAATCCATGAATAATATGATTTATTTTAACTCATGATGAACTAAAATCATACAATGAAACATGTTGATGGCAAAAGTATACAGATGGGCGTTTTTACAGATGTATATTCGAGATTAACATTATTTCTTATATTTTTGTGAAATTTTAAATAACCGTATTTTTGTTGTTGTATTATTTGCATTAAATGTAGAAATATTTATTTAACCTGTCTCGTGTTGTAGATGTTGGCAAAGTACTGAGTACATGGAGCCTCGTAGGCTGAAATAGAACACCAACTTCTTTACCCGCCAAATGTTATTTTAATTGGGACGAACATACAAACTATCATTCTGGTGAATCTAAACATTTCACACTGTGCTCTTAGTCATCTATTATTCTAATTCGAGGTTTACGAAAGTAATAGTATATTATATCACAAGGTAGAGAAAAGATTTTTTATACACGAACTGTTTATTACCCAAGATGCGAAATAATAAATGCGAGGCTATAAACATCTTGGCTATCGTGTTTTATATAACATTTTTTTCACTACTAGCACATTTATTACCCAGAAATAGAATAGTGAACAATACAACCTAACTGAATGGTCATGTTGCCTCAGACGTATCTAACATGTCGTAATTCACAACTATTACTTTTGTTAATTTATTATTACTTACAGTATTTGATTATTTACCTGAGTTATTAACTTAAGTTGGAAGTATTATTTTATTCTTATTTTAAATGAGGTTATGTCATTTTTTACTTCTACATCTATTTAAGGAACTTTCTAACTTCATAATATGAAATATTTGTTAAAATAATGTAAACAACACAAAAAAAAAGAAGAGAAAAAAAGTGTTAAAATTTATCCTATTACTGATAGTATTTCAACACGAAATAAATCAATTTGTTAATTTGACAGTTTTGACAAAGACAGAATATTAGAGGTGAAGTTATTCTTATGTTTTTATTAAGGAAATTTAAGTCTTTTTTATTTGATTTTGCATTACTTTCATCTCGAAATACTTTCATTAGTATTTGTGATGATAATAGTTTTAAATAATGATATTCTAGATATTTTTGTATCAATGTAATACCCTTCAATATCGGTATTTACCCATAATAATGAAAATGATTTTTGACTACTATCAAAAAAAAACAGCTTCACAACCTCTCGACAAATTAAAAAATATTAAATGTTAATTCAAAATTTTTTAGGTTTAATTCAGTGTCTGTTATGCTGGATTGTTCTTACAAATCAGCTAATCTGGCACTTCTCCATGCTTCTCAAAACCACATGTGTTGGCGAAAGAATTCTTTGCTAAAAATACAGATATTTGCCGACAATGAAAAATTTTATGTCGCTCTTATTGCAAGAAAGCATCTTATTTAAAATAACTGTTACATTTACAAAATGTTCAAAAGCTCCAAAGGAATTTGAAACTGTTATCTAGGTTTTGTTCCAATTACATTAACCTTTAGCAAAATTTTTGGCAACCAGGTAGTGTTTACCTGTGACGTCGACTCAGTGACATATTTATTGTTCAAGAAGTATACTTAAGATATTATTGTTAAATTTGTAAAGTGACAGAGAATTAATGTGAACCGCTAATGACGCAAATAAATGCAAGAAATATTTTGAGATGATTCTAAAAGTAAATTGACTTTGCTTAGAGAACAAACTCGGTTTATTTTTGATCTAAACTAAAAGTGATTATTTCCAGGGTTCAATTGATTTCCATTTCTGCTTTTGGAGGATTTATTTTTAAAATTTAAAGTGCTTTTGCCAAAGAAATACAAAAACCTCCTTTTACTTTATTTAATTGTCTTCCTGTGCTATTTTTTATGCTCTAAAATTGATCACAAGAAAAAAACGTGAATGTTTTATAAGTCTTGTGACATGCGCTTGTTGTGGTGTCCCGATTTGGCTCCTGGTTCGCTCCCGGAGATGTTGCGACAGCCACCTGAAGTAGTTGTGTGTAAAAACTTGAACAATGACTTAACAGGGCGCGATGATTCTTTCCTTTCTTTGTTATGTGTAAGAAAAACGATTTTTTGATCGTTTTTCTTACTCTGACAGAAATCTTGTTCTTATCGTTCTCAAGTGTCCCATTTTCTAGGTGAAAAATAAAAAATGTTGCGACAATGGTTTGAATATTTGAAATTATTTTTCTATAGACTATTTCTCGGGGTTAATGCCGTTAAGGGGTAAGTTCTTTAGATCACATTTGATCATAAATCAGTGAGTTATTTACTTAAATTCGCAATTAAAAATAGGTTTGTCTCTCATTTCTAATATGGAATAGATTGTAATTTGTCCACGTCCTTGTGTTAAGCTCCGTGAAGAGTTCGAGTCAAAACATTACAAAACTGAAGCTATTTTCGTCACGTTCATTTCATTTTGTTTGTGGCTTTCTGTCAGCGTTCGTTTTAGATTTACTCCATTTGTGAGGTATTTTTGAATACGGAAATAAAACATGAATGGTCATTTCTTCATAATTAATATTTTTGTTATTACAGAAACGATGACAGATTTGCAATGGTTTTTGTACTTGCTTGTATCTTGTGGGATTTGGTGACAAGGTAAATGCTATTTTTGCACATCATATCGGTTTCATCTGTTGCTGTTTCTTTCACCCTGTATGACGTTGAGATCATTCTTTCCAATTTCGTCCGTCGTGTCCTATTTGTTTTTATGTCTTTCAAATGTAAACTAATCCTGTCACTAGGTTTGATCATTTAAGTGTGTAAATTACAACTTCATTTAACTTCGTAGTCGCATCTTGAAATATTTTAAGATAACGAGAAGATCGTAAAATGTTTAGCGATTCATTAAAATAACGCATCGTAATAGTATATTACAATCGAAGTAAGTGGAAAATATGTCATTATCGCCGAGGTTCCCAATTACAATTTGTTTAAACAATAAAATCTAAAGTGATCCACAATAAATGAATCTGTTGGTAATCTTGACTCTAATTTAACAATTAGAGCTTTAACAAGCTTGCCATTGGAGTGCGCTTTTGATTAAAACAATTCAACAATCTTGTGGGGTTGTACGTCAAGTATTTGCAACCGTATCCGGTTGTAGTGTTTAAAATTATTAACAAAAATACTTTCAAATTTGTTACCAACAGATTCAGTCTTTCTGTATGATTTCGTTTTTTTTTTCTGTAAAAGTTGCTATACAAACAATAAATTACTTCCTGACCAAGGGATGCATGACAAATTTCCTGACCTCTCAAAAGTTAGGAGTGATCAATAAAACGACAAGAAATTCTAATACAGACACAATTAAATAATAGATGTTGAGTAATAAAAAATAAAAAACTTTTATCCGCAAATGTCACAAAAGTGTCCACTTTTATTATCAAATGTCACAACTTTTACCTTTCAGCCATGGAGTGAAAATTCTATTTTTTTGCTTAAAATTTTTCACTTTTACCATGACATTGCTGACATTTGCAATGTTGTTTCTTTTTTGCCTCTTTCACTATGTTCGGCAAAATAAACGTTCAGCTTCGCCATATCAACTATCACTTTTACTCCTAGTAACATAATGTAGGATAGACCGGGGCTAGTTGACTGATTTTTTTCCTTCTCAAGAGTGTCTGTGTAGGGTGCTTTTACGTTTCCTGGTATTTTTTCTATTTTCTAAACGTTGTCCAGTTTTAGGAAAAGGTCTTATTTCTTTAGGAGTAATAAACGAAGCATAGATATATTGCGAGATTGAGACGTCATATTTGATAGTGTTTTCGGGTCTAATATCTCTGTTATTTGCCAACGGATTTTTATGAAATTTAAAATGTAGACAACTTAGAAGATGGAGATTCAATTAGTATTAATAAAATTACCTCAAGATAAAAAATATAATTTTAACAATATGTTCTCAATTTAAAATTAAGCGAAACTACTATTATATTGTGAAGCACTAAAAATCAGACCTTTACAAATAAAACTAATAAAATCACTCGTCTCAATAAGCAGAAATATGTAGATTATGTTGTTAAAATTTTGACCTAATTTTTAAAAGAATTTTATCAAAGTTACCTAACTCTAAAACGTCTCCAAGTAACGTTTTGTACAATCCTGAAAACCTGTGGTCGGTAAATTAAGTTAGAACACCTTTAGAATCTTTAGAACCATATGATGCCAATAGTGGTACCTGCGAGCATCTTTTGTTTTACTGAACTGGTTAGCCCAATAAATACAGTTCCTAAATTACGTTATTAACATTTTATGTGTAAAAATAATTTTTCTTATGTTAAAGTAATTTTATTAATACTGGACCTTCTAAGTTGTTTACATTTTAAATTTTATAAAAATCCATTGGCAAATAACAGAAATATTTGACCCGAAAGCATTACGTCTTAATGAAACTTGAAATGTTAATTATGGTCCTCTAAATTTGGATTTATAGGTATTTTGTAAACTTTATTTAACAATTATACAAACTTTATAAAAATGCAGAGAAATTTGTAATTAGAAAAATAAGGCAAAATAAGCAAATTGTTCAATCTAGACGGAAACGAAAGGTTAAAAAAACTTGTTCTTGTAAAAGTATTTTAAACAAAACCATGCGATTTTTTAGTCTTAAGTTTGTAATTAAAATAGAGGAATAGAAATTCAATTTAATTTTTGTCTACTTAAATATTTGCTTATTTCAAAAAAAGTCTTGAAAACATTGGACTGATAAATGTCTCCAAAAATAGAATGACAGGTGTCAATTGTGTAATTTTAACGCATTTTTAATCAGTCTCTATTTTATTGCATTCTTTTTTTACTGTTACTACTACTCTCCTCCGAATTTATTGATATATCTTATTTTATGTATACCTATTCCTTTAATCTTTAATTCGGTCTTTATTATTATTATTATTTTTGTCTGTGAAAAACTGCTTCTATTCTTTTCCACTTTTTACTTTTGATTGTTGTTATTTTTGATTTTTTCTTTTTTCTCAAACATTGTGAAAATCTCTAAAAATCTTTCTTAAAGTAAAATTTTATATCTAATTTTTTGAACAAAAGTGTCGTCATTTCAAGTATAAAAGGCATCCAAATATTTATATAAAACAAGATTACTTGATTTAAATCAATTTATTCTTGTCGCCCATAATTTATGAGTATTTTCATAAAATGCACACACTTAAATATACAGGGTGCGCCAAAACTCGCGCCCCAGAGAAAATTTTCAAGTAAGGTAAGATACCAGGAACATGAAAAAAATGTTTAAGAAATTTTATCTGTAATTTTGATTTGACATTTTTTTATATCTATTTAATGATACTGATGATCTTACAATTATTTAGTAAAGTGACAAAAAATTTGCCAATAAAAGCCACAAATAACATTGAACAGAGTCACAATTTAGGACACAGCTTCCTTGTTTCCTCTTTTAATAGCCTATAGCAAAAAAACTTAAAAATTATTTTTCCAACAGAAATAAATAGAGTCAAAGTGCAAACTTTAAACCCTCATAACTTCGAAATTTTTATAGATAAAATTTTTTTAACATTTTTTCCATGTTTCTGGTATCTTACCTCATGTGGCATTTTTCTCTGGGACGCGAATTCTGGCGCACCTGTATTTTGAACAACAATTTGTATAACTGTCAGACCAGATTTTATTTTTGTAAACGATGTTTGCAGTAACAAAAGTGTTGTGATGAAAGGTTAAATATAGCCACAGTTGAAACTTAAAAAAAAATTAACTTTGTCAACTATCTCTGTGTATGTACACTTAAACAAATTGATAATTTTGAATAAAATAAAGCATGATTTGTAGTGTAAAAACTGTAATGTATCTAAATTGTTTAATTTATTTATGAAAGAGTATTAAAAAAATTTAATGAAAATTTTTTGAATATTTGGCAATTGTATGTGATTTGCCATCAGACAAACCACTACCCAGTTTTATTTATGGGCGAAGCTGGATCCAGTCTGGAAACTTGCCAGATGGACAGTTGTAGATATATCCTGAGTATTTTTTGCTGTGGTTAAACCGTCCGAAAAAAACTATTTTTAGAAGCGTAATTAGGATTAAAACCAAAAATGATTTCGGATAAAATTCAAAGTCAACGAACTTTCTTTCTCCATTTGCAGAAATCCTGACTCCGAAAGAGGTGGCAATTTCACAACCAATAAAATGTCTGACACTCAGGTTTCCCTTGTTGGGTCCGGCAATCAACAAATAGAGCAAGAAACCAGCGAGGAAACGACACTCTCTGAGGTAGGTCCACAGTTAACCCAGGGTGTTATGTAATTAAGTAAAAAAATGCATAAATTTTGACAATTAACAATGATCTCAGACGACGCAAATAGGGTGGTCATAATTCACGTTAAAATAAATAAAAACATTAATTTGAAATTCGCAACAAAAGAACTAAAAATAATTAAACAAAAATCAGCTCTAATACATTTATTGATTTTTATTTTCTTCTGGACCTCTCGGTGTCGAAAATTACACACACTATCTACCCAAACACCAAACGTTTTGTTATACACGACGTGTTTCAACCACAAAGTACTCATCCCCAGGTGAGAATTAATACTAATAAAAAGGAGTAAAATACAAAAGACTTTTTTGAAGTTTAGTTTTAAAACCATTGGACCATCTTTTATAATTTTCAGCTCTTTTTCAGACCTATCCGTGAATCCGACCTATCAGTGAATAATCACTGGAAGCTGGGATTATGGGAAAGTGTGGGGCCAGACAAATTAATATCTAATACAAATCTTTTCTAATCTTTTTTAATATTAGTATTAGTTCTAAAACGTTTGGTGTTTGGGTAGATTTATTTATTTTTATTTATGACCAAGAGGTCGTCTTAAGCAAATTCTAAGAAATGCCTCTGAGTGGGTAATTTAAAAGATCATTATATTTTAAACAAAATACAATAAAATAAGAACTATTAAAAAATATTATTAATCATACACGTAGGAACCGCCGCCTAAGAGATTTTGATCTATTTACATAACACGTGGTAATTCCCTTCCTTCATATCCCAACACCTTATTAATGCAGGCAACACTTGCCTTGGCACAGGTAGTAAAAGCCAATTAAAAGGTGCGTTAATGTGTCAACTACAAGTTTGTATATTTAAGATTTATTGCTGTTTAAGTTGTTTCACTTGTGATTTACAATTACCAGATGACACATAACTTTAAGGTGCTCTTATTATCAAGTCTTTTTTTTGAGAAAATCTCAAAAAAATAAGGGAAGTTGGCAGTTTTGGTTTTTGATTTAATTTGAAATCAATGTTATTAAAAAATCGTTTAAAAAATTTGGAGACAAAAACACAAAAACGAGGACAAATTCTTAAAATAAAAGTATTTGTTCTTAATAACAATTTTTAGTGTTTTTGAAATTTTAGAATGCTTGTTTTTGAGCTATTTCTATGACATTCGTAAGAAGCAAGTGTAGAAAATCAAGTCCATACACAAAAAATTTTGGCTCCTGTGTTACAACCTATAAGTCTTCTAGATTCTAGGATCAAAACTTCTAAATTTAGCAATTCTTTAATTGAAAAAAATTTTCTGAAATTCTAAAATTAGAATATATGTTTTTGGGAATTTTTTTATTAGACTTGAGTTTAAAAAGGCAGCGTTAAAATTTAGACGATTTGTAATGAAGATTTGCTAGACATTCTTTAATTTTTTGCAAGAAATTGATGAGAAAACAAAATAAACATGAATGAGAAAGAAAGAAATAATTTTTTTTAGGAATCAGATGAAAAATAACAATTTTGAAACTAAAGCTGAAGAAGAATTTAGAACATGCATCAACTTAAGCTCATTTCAATGAATTACATAAAATTTATTGACAATTTTCATATCACCTGACTGTATCTTTTGGAAAATAACTTTTTTCTGTATAGACTTTTTTTTTATTAAAATTTTTGTAGTAAGAAACACGTTTTTGTCTAGAATGTTGTACTTACTTTGTTGTTTCTATCAATAATTATTATTAGCACTGAATTTTGTCTTTAGACACTAGGTAATGTATGTCTCCAATGTTCGATTATAATGCTTTCAAAGAACAAACAGGTGGACAAAATTCATAATCGTCAAAATTTTGTTAAAATAAAAAAATAGAAGGACTATAATTTTATCGATCAATTAACGATTTTATTTTTCCACAGGTGTCGAAAGATCTTGGACACACGAAAATATCCGAAAAGTCGGCTCAGTATGAAGCCACAGCGAACACATCCATCGTCCAAGAAAATGCTTCGAAAAATATCCAAAGCAGTTGCAATGTGATGCAATCTCAATCCGTGTCTCAATCAGTTAGCGAAAGCCGCAAGGTAACAACTTCATCATTCTCTTCTTCCCAAAGTTTTTCATCGGAAGAATCCGAAGAATATGTTATTGAAGGTTAAAACTTACCACAACCGAAATTACCCACTGCTTTCGGGTAATTTTATTAATAAAAAAATACTTTCTAGTTATCTCTCTTTGTGTAACAATTTTTGAAACGAGAATTTTTGATCTACTTTACAGTAGAAAATATTTTTGATAAAGGGTTTTGACTTTTGAGGCATTTATTACCTTACACTGTCCATAGCTTGTAGCAACCATGTGATACAAGGGAAAAGACACTAAATTAGACATTTTTGCCTAGATAACTGAAAGTTATATAGAACTGACGCTTTTTTTTGGTTGGCAGTATCACTAGGATTGTTTTAGCTGTATGTTGTATGAAAATCGTTTTACAATAAAGTGATATTAAACCCATTTGTTCGTTTATTTCCAGGCACTGAGCTTCAAAATGTTATTTAAGAGCTTTCAGGCGCTCAGTTCTATATAGCTTCCATCATTACACTTAACAAAAACATAACGTTTTGAAGCTTCAGTTAGATAATCCCACCTACACCTAAATCAAAAACTGTCAGACTGAAGCCTTGATTTATTAAAAAAAAAATAACTTATAACTCGCAGGAACAAGAACATGAAACCTCAGTATCATCAGACATTCAGTCCCAAGAAAGTTCAACATCAGAATCAAGAAAAACCAACTATTATAAACCGTTAGAACCTATTAAATCTTTCGAACCGGTTAAACCTTTCGAGCCTATGAAACCCTTCGAACCTTTAAAACCGTTCGAACCTCCCAAATCTTTTGAACTAACACGTCAAATAGAGAAAACGGTTCTACAATCTCAACAAAATGATAAAAAAGAAAACGGAGTCAAGAACCAAGAAGAACATAACTTGATCAATAACGGATTTCCGCCTGATTATGTTCCAGTAGAAGCATTAGAACCTTTGAAACTCTTTGAACCTCTTCCACCAATAGAATCTTGTAGAATTAGCGAGAACATACCTGCAAACGGGACATCAAAACCTACTTCAGAAATAAAAGAAGAGAAAATTAAAAATTCATTAAAAGAGATTATATCTGATTTAGATCACTATGCTGAGAAAGATAAGGAATTGAAAGAGTCGTATTATGAAGAAAAAAATGTTGATGGTAATAATACAACTTATTCTCATGAAAAGGTTCTGGAATCACAGTCACACGTTAAAGAGGTTTGTTTTGTTAATAAATGTGATGTAATGAGCTTTTTTAATAAATTTACTCACACATGATGGGCTAAAACTTGGGAATAATAATAAAAAATTGAGAATTTTTTACTACAACTTTATATAATGCACATTTCATAAATAATCAATTAATCAAAACATAGGATTTTAAATTTTAATAAATATGTAATCTTCAGGTGCTAATTCTGGTTCTATTAAAAATAAAAACTTTCTTACTAGAAAAGATATTGCCTTACACACTAATTTTCTGAAAAGTAAATATTTTTTTAATAAAATCCATTAAATCAACAAATTAATTTTTGAACATTTCTTGTTATTTTAACTCTAAATTTGCAGTAAATATGTTCACTGCGAGTTAAAAAAATGTATTAAATTTTAACAATATTTTATTATCACGTTAAATAAAGAAGAGACCTTCGCCAAGTAATAAACGTTTTTGGGCCTAACCGGTTTTCCTTTATTGACAAAAACTGTTTGCAAGATTTGTCAAAATTTATCAAATAAAAAATTGAAACATTAACAACACATTAACATTACTATTAATAGCTATAAAATTTATCAAAGATCTTTTTTAATATTAGCCCCTTCCTTACTTAATCCTGTGATATTTTACCAAACATTTTGGTCAAAACTTTAAATATATACATGTTATGTTAATTTAAAAGCCTATGTATAACATAACTTCTCCATAACTTATAACAATTTGTCAAATATTGACGCGTTCAGCAAAATTCATTACTCGCGTAAGCAAGTATTTATTACTGTTCATGTTTGTTAGATAAAAAAAAAACTGATTAAGTTAATTTAGTTGTAAAATTTGTTCACACGTGTAAAAAAGTTTAAAAAAAAGACAAATTAAAAGAGTTTTCATAGACTGTAAGTAGTTTAACTACAATTGTCTCAAGACATTTTTACACAGATTTGCAAAAAATAAATACAACGTGATCTTCAAGTATGTGCAAATATTTTAACAGGTACTAGTAGAGTTCAAAAGAAGTCAAAATAATTAAATTTGTCCTATCCGAATGTTTATAGTTTCTGGGATTAGAGAATGCACTTGGCGTTGGAGCAAGTGTCAAAAAAATGCAATTTAAACAAAGTTTAAACCTTTATCCCAAAGCTTACATTGCTGGTAGTTACATTTGAAGTATTAAAATTCGGCGGTATTTTCAACAAAAAAATGGATTCAAAATTGTTACCATTTTTATGGGACACTTTTTAACAATTTTTTTTTTAAACAATGTAATAGATTTTGAAGAGACAGATAGATCATATTTTTTTACAATTTGAATTGTATATTTGATGAACAAAACCCTCTGCATCTCAAAAACTATAAGAAATTCGGATAAGGCAAGTTGAGTTACGAGTATTTTAACTTATTTTTTTGAGCTCTACTATAACCTGTTATATATACACTTTAATACCTGTATTATTTTTAATTTTGGCCCACCATGTTTATTGTACAATGTAATTTTAACTAGAGGTGACAATGGTGGTTCAATGTTTTAGCTACCTATTGAAAATTTACATTCATTTTGAATTTTTTAAAGCAGAAACATATTTGAACCACTAAATAAAATGATTAACCAATTTTCTTATTGTTAATACATTTTAAACATTTTTAATATTACTTTTTTTGTTTTTTTTTGTGTTTTCTTCTTTTCGCATGTAAGTGTTGTAGAGCGAACAGCGATCCAACAAAGACAATTGGATTGCCCACTTACCTTCAGTGTTACCAAAACAACGCCCCCTGTCTTTGCCTCCTCAAAACACTTTCAATTACGCTGATTTTTCAAAGGTATACACATCCATTCATTCCTAAATACATTCAATAATGATACTGATTTGTTTTTATAAATAATTGACAAAATTTCTTAATTTATTGATGATTTCAGGTTATGCAAGAACTTAGCGGTGGACAACATTTTCAAGTAAGTAGAAATTTTAAACAAAAAATTAATGTAAATATACGTTGTATATTAATTTTTTTAAGTTATTGAATTTTTAAAAGCAAACAACAAATCGGACTTTCTATTGATGATAGCGTCCTTACTTTTGAAAAATCGGCCTTACTTTTGGTGATTTCAAATGTCATGTTGACAAACAAACTTTATTTTGAAAACAGCGGCCTTACTTTTGAATATCTACATCGGAAAATCAATTGATTTAGACTGTAATAATATTCTAAAAATATTTGTATCAATGTAATACACTACAATATCGGTATTTACCCAACTCTAATCCATATAGCCTTTTTTGGTCAATAACGTAAATGATTATTAACCACTAGGAGAGCAAAACAATTTTATTCGCAATCATAAAGAGTAATGAAATTACCTTGCTTGTGGAAAGTTGGAATGGATGACATTTCAACTTCATTTAACAATTGATAAGAAACATCTGGTTTAGGTTGGGAAGTGGTCACTTCCTTGTCAGTTGATAGGTATGTACATAATATCGAAAGATCAAGATAATTTGTAATCAAGGCACATTCTTGGATCCGAAAACGTATGTCTGTGAAACGTCAAATAAAATGACAAGTCGAAAGGTAAAATGGTATGATCAAAAACATGATTTTATTTGACGTTTCACATGCAATTAGTTCAAAAGCAGACATACGTTTTCGGATCCAAAGATAACTCGATTACAAATTATTTTGATCGCTTAATGTTATTGTTCAGGTTGCGAAATTTTGTTTTAGTAATGAAGCACCTCTCACCTCAGTATGTAATCTACTGTTACAACCTCTCGACAAACTAAATAATAGTAGCTTTTATAACTAGTAGTGAAAACAAACATTACATTTAATTTTTGACTGTAAAAATGTGGCCAGCCTGTATACTTCTTCCCGCGGTTTCAAAGTACTAAAAATAAAAAATGTAATGTTGGTTGCATTGTCGTATTTAGTTCTCAAGATACAAATGTAAATTTTAATACTGAAAATCAAAGAAATAAAATAAATAGCGTTTCTGGCTCTTAAGCTGTAAATTATCTTGCACAATTTCTTTGAACAAAAACTTTAAATTATTATTAATGGACATCAAAACTTGCCAAACTCACATTCGTCTATAGCTAGTGTCAACCTCTAAACCTCTTTTTCTAACAAGCACTTAAATTAAATAACGTTGATCGTTGATAAATACAACAGATATTTTTGGATGTGGTCCAGATAGTTACCAAATTCGTTCTCTCTCCTAGCAGATTATTTCTAGACGTGTACTTTGTTGTAATTTCATGCACAACGTCTTATCAACTGAAATTTAGTTTCTTTTATTACGGTAGTGGTGTTGTGTAAGTGCTGCAATAAAATTCAATTGGCAAAGGCTTCCATCACAGGTTTTTGCAAAATTTAGGCCAAACTTTATTTACAAGCAGATGCAAAATTTATTACACATCTAAAACATTTTGCCTATGCTAAACTAACAAACACAGAATTATTTTTGAATCTAATACCGGAAAATTATGTGGTAATTTATTTTCAAAATTTCTGCAGTTGATTTTTTATTTTTAACCACTTAATCCTCTAAAAACAATTATGACTCTATTACAAACTCCTTTGCCAGGTTTTTGACTAATTTAAAAAAAAAACAGTTCAAAAATGCGGTTGCTTAATAAAATTGTGGACTCAAAAAGTGAGATGTATTCCATGAGCAAAAAAACTTCTTACAATTTGTCCAAAAGTGCTAGTACCAGATTTGTCCCATCATCTGCACCCTCGACTCCTTCTTGGTCTAAACCAACATCAAATTTTCTGTTGCAAAAATCGCACAGTATAACAGATGTGATCGAATCTCAACGTGGTTTTAAACCATCAGACACCAAAGACCCCTACAAGAAAGAATTTTTGAAAAACCTCACCCAGAGAGTTTTCAAGGTTGGCTTGGTGAGTTTTAAACAATCATCTGAGCTTGCGTCTTCGTTTCATAACTCCAGATTCGTTCAGTTTTATGAAGCATTCCAAATCGACAGACGCGTTTGAAATTTTTTATTTAAAAATTTTGTTTCACTCAAATGACTCGTTTGTTACTTTGAATAAATGCCAATTGACGACGGGATGTTATATTTTTGTGTTTATGTATAAATTAAAATGTTTCTTGGAGGTCAAATATGTTTTGTTCGCGATAGTAAAAGTGAAGAAAAATTTGAGTATAAGAAAAGAGAGTATTATGACTGTAAAAGAAAGGAAAAACATGTTCATTTTGAAGTAGGATTTTTGGATTTTTTTAAATCATGTTTTATGTTTTTTTTTTAATTGTAGGATGAAAATGCGCCTCCACCAAAACCAATCAATTTGGAAAAAGTTTTCACACCGGCTGAGGGTGAACAAATACAACCTTGCAAAAATAGTAAGTAAAATTTTACTCTTCTAACAAACATTTGATTTTTTTAATGTTTTAATTTGAAACTGATTTATTTTGCAAAAGTAATAAACTTCAGATTATACAAAATATTTAATGTGGATAATTTTTAGTATATTAGGCAGTAAATGTGTGAAGAAATACAATTTGTAACTTTTGTTGTTTTAAAATATTTTGTATTTTATTTTTATTTTAACTTTACTTCTATCCTGGAAAATTAAATAAAACGATAAATTGACTATGAGATTGATTCTTTTTCTTTATCGTTAATTTTTGTATTTACGAAAACAGAGTTTATTAGTCGTATGTTAAAAAAACAACAAAAAATTTATTTTGAAATAAATAATGATGTGAATAAATGTTGAAAACATAAATTTTTAAAAGCGACCATTGAAAACAACAACTGTTTTATTGTCGTGATTTATGGGTTTATTTATTATCCGTAATTGAACAAATTCTTAATTAGGTACGATGACATCATTCACTCCATCAAAATAATTTAAATTTGTTTGTAACAAAAATAAAATGAAATCAAACCTCAAAACTTTAATTCATAATATACCAGCTCACTAGAAGCTATAGAACCAAACGGATAACATCGTACAAAATTTTACGTTATTAAAAATAATTTTTTTTAATCTCAACTTAACTATAAAACCTTTTTTTTACAAAGGCTATATTTTGAACATTACATCTATCTACATTTTATTTAATTTTTATCAAAAAAATTCATATAAGTTGCCATTAAAAAAAAACGCGTAACTCAAAAACCCATGATTACCTTAGTCTGCTACAGTCGTATTTTTTAAGTTTCTTTCTAATATACATATTTTTGAGCACTGCAATCGGAAAAATAGTAAAAAAAATTATCACGTAGAAGACAAAATAATGCAATTACCTACACAAGACTACTTTACAATTCGAAAAAAAGCAAAGGTGGAAAAGAATAATGGAAGATCAAAGAAAACATTAAAATAAACAATCGTATACTAAAAACTTAAAAAAATACTCAATATGTTGAAGAAACACAATGGATAAAATTTATAGTTTAGAAAAATACATTTTTTATAGCTTATTTTGGAGGTCTCAAGCGCTCCAAGCATTTTTTAGCTAATTTCAAAGTTTAAAACAGATTTTTGTTAACAAATATTCAAATAAAGAATGATTTTAATTCAGTATCATAGATTTATAACAATTTATATAATTTTTTAATTATACAGGGTCGCTAAAAAGTATGGATACAATTAAATATTATAAAAACTGTTCACCAAAACTCATTGAAATTTGGTATATGCTTAAAAATATTTAGATTCCATCGCCTCAGATGTTTATCAAACTTCTATCTCCATTTGTTTTGGGGATACAAGGCTAACTTGATTTTTTTTAATGTCAAGAAGGGTCAAATTTAATATTTTTAAGAAAAGTATTTTTTTCTGAGTTCTGTGATGTAACTTCTGTGATGTACCTTTAAAAAAAAATTGTCGAACTAATTAAATTTTGAAATATGTAATTTTTTTAATCTTGGAAATGTTGTCTTTATTTATCGTTATCTCTTCGCCGCGTGAATATTTATCAACTAATGTGTATTTTTGTCTTTTTGGATCATTTAGTAACTAAATTTATGACTTGCTATAAACCTAAATCTATAATAGAACTGCATTAAACATTACTGTCATTAATAATTTCATATGCAAGATGCAGTTAATATTTGCCATCGTCCCGACGCATAGCAAATGATGTGCAATATTTTAAGATTTATTTTGAGTCTCCTTCTAAATCGATTAATTTTCTACTCGTTTCTTCTTCTTTTTCAAGGAAAAATGTTTGCATCGTCCGCTTTCTACGCTAAAGGCATACATCCAACAGTTGAAGAGCAAGTTCAACTCGCTAAAAGAATATCAAGTTCTCTTAGTGACATTAGCAACCAAAGCAGCAAAGGTCAATCCATGTATGTCAATCGCAAGAAACGATCAGTTAAATGGGTCCACGAAGGAGAAGGTAATAGTAGATTACATGCGAGGTGGAAAATGTGTCATAGCATACTATTTTATTCACAATCACATTTTCTTAAATATTAATTAATTTAATATCTGTTTTTGTGTCAAAGTAAACTTGATAATCCTTCATAAATTATTTCCCGATTATGGGATGTAATGACAAATTTTTCAACCTCCAAAAGACTAGGAATTGTCATATTATGTAGTGATTATATAAGGTATTTGTTATATCCCTCGATGCTACGCATCTCGGATAATAACAGCTCACCTATAAAAATCTCTTCTTTAACTTGTGTTATAATATACTATTAGTGCTAAATCACTGTTTAATTTAATTTCTCAGGCCGCTCTAAATAAATGGCTTCACAAATTGATTATAAATTAGCGTGCGTTTTGACCTCAAATCTGGATATTTTTATAATTCAAAGATCTGACAACTGCATTGGAGGAAAACAGGACATGGTTCTATATCTGTCCTTGCTGTGGTAATTTGTTCCGAAAGCGTGTAAAGAGCTAATTTCTTCGTAAAACCTCGAGAAGGCATATCGTGATAGTCCGGAAGTAAAAAACGAGCAAATTTGGCGACTAGCCATATCCATCAGCTAATTGCGTAACCCTGCCACCAAAATATCTTCAGATAATGTTTGGCTGTTTATACAAACAGATCTGTACGAAAATTCAGGAATATTGCGTCGCTGCTCGCACATTGATTGTTATTTAAAGAATTGATTCGATTTCAATTTAGAACGTGGTTTATATTTTAAACAAATTTTAATGTCCACATTGAAGGTTAGTGCGTTTGATGTAAAGTTTGTCTGTCTTTAAATGTTTATTTCAATGACACGTCATAAGTGTGGAAAATTAAGAACCATATGGTTCTTGCCACAAATATGCTTATAATTTGCACGAGAATGTTTGTCTGGATATAAATAAAAATGTTATTGGGACAATTATGTGAGAACAAAAATACAGTTTAAATTTAGATTCCAAAAATAAATACAATGATGATATCGAAGATCAGGGTTTTTTCAAGCTACAATTGACTGGCTTCAAATAATTGCTAGTACAGACAAGTCAAAATTTTGGTGAAAATATTGGTAACAGCTTATACCTATAACCACAAATTTTGTTGGCTTTTTGTTTTTGTTCCTAGAAATTTATAATATTTATTTATATAGTTATTTGTACTACTACAAAGGAAAGTGTATTTATTCCTCTCACATGTGGATTTGTTAAGGGCAGTAACCATCTAGGGAGAAAACAACACTTTTCTTCTGTGTAATACATATAATTTTTCGTACTATAAAAATTAACAGTTTTAATTTAAATAATTGATATTCTTAAATCTTACTTGTTTTTTTACGAGTATTAGGAGAGAGATATAATGTTCTAAGCCCTAGGGTTACTCTCGTATAGTTTCCCATGATAATGCATATCCATAAACTATTTCACTTCATAATTTTCACATCATTTATTTTTTTAATAATGGGCAACAAGCAAGATAAAACTTTATACAGGTGTTTCAGAACTCGCACCCCAGAGAAATATTTTAAGTAAGATAAGATACCAGGAACATGGAAAAAATGTTTAAAAAATCCTACATGTCAGAAAAAAAAATATTTTATTTTTTGACATTAGACATTTTTTATACAGATTATTTTGTATGTTTTCTAATAATTATTTAGTAAAGGTACAAAACTTTTGCCATAAAAGCTGGAGGAGATGAGCGGCTGTGCCGCAATCCTCCCAAAATTTCTACAAAGTTGGGATTGCTAATATTTGAATTTTTATAATAAATAGAATAAACTGAGTTTGATAATTTATTTATCTCTGAGACACAATATTGTATACCCGTAATGCAGGGTGCGCCAGAACTCACGCCCCAGAGAAAAATGTCATGTAAAGTAAGATACCAGGAACATGGAAAAAATGTTAAAAAAATTCTATCTATAAAAATTTTGAAGTTATGAGAGTTTTAATTTTGCACTTCGTCTCTATTTATTTCTGTTCGAAAAATAATTTTCCAAGTTTTTTTGCTACAGGCTGTTAGAAGAGGAAACAAGGAAGCTGTATCTTAAATTGTAACTCATTTTATGTTATTTGTGACTTTTATTTTCAAAATTTTTGTACCTTTATTAAATAATTATAAAAAAAAATCTGTTGGCAGCGGAAGGTAAAATGTCAATAAGACAATCGAGAAATGTCAAAATAATTTACAGTAAATGTGATAGGAAACCCTGATATACGACTTGTACGAATAACATCTAGAACATGTTCTCATTTCAGAATGTTTTAAGTGGTTTCATAAAATCAATTTGCTTTGAATAATACTTATTTTAATTTTTGTAAAATAACTTTATCACATCTAATCATATGGAATGGAATGGAATGCAACATACATCTTCAACTACTTGATAAAAAGCCGTTTTGATCGCATTGTATAAAAAACATCTTAAAGAAAAAATAAAACCCACGATAAAGTTTTAAAAAGATGCCCATCGGATTCACAAATGTTTTGTAGAGAAATCTAAAAAAGTTTAAACAACAGTAGATATAACTTTCCCATTTCTTAGTAGTTAATGGTTATTTATTATGAATGTTGTTATAGGTTTGAGAACAGAAGGTTCTGAATACACTTCAGAATCTTCAGAAACAAAAGACCCATTGAAACTGGTAATGAACCCACATGGTCAAGTCCAGGACATAAATTCCTTACGCAAACAAGGTTATACAATCGAATCCGCATTATCACCGGACGTGTGTCTTGAAATTGTTAAAGATCTAAATTCACCTAAAGGAAAAGGTACGAACTTTATTTACATTACTATTTTATTAAAATTATTAAAAATGAACAGGAGCTGAATTATTTGCCAAACGACGTAAGCGTTCAGAAAAGTGGGTTGTGGGTGAAACAAACGGTACACGACCATCATCCATACCAGATATTGCACCATCTCCAACACCCATATTGTCACCATTGCCTCCAATTAGTAGCTTCCCTCCACCAAGTTACCTACCAGAAACGGCAAAAAGGATACAACACAAAGAAAAACTGGACGAAATACAGGTTTTTATTTATGTTACTCGAAGAATGTTTTAAAGGTTTAAATATTTTGGAAATGTAGGAAAAATTCACGCGTCCTCGTCTGAAACTAGTCAAGTCTCCTTGGGACGCAGCTTTAGAGACTGGATCAGTGGAGGCAGCTTTCGAAAATGTACCCCCAGCATGGCCAACACGAGGAAATTACGTCGCTCCTGTCGTAGATTCATATGAAGCTGCACTCAAAAACGATTCTTTATCATCATGGACGGGGGCAAACCCCAATGAAAAAGTTTTTGCACACAACCCAGCTTATAACAGTAGCAGTATAAACCGAATTGTGGATAATTTACAAAAGGGAAATGTGGATTTGTATAAACCATCAATGCCACAAGCTTGGAATTCTTCAACCACACCAAAGCAACAACAATATGGTAAGAAAGAAAAACTTTTTAATTTATGACACTTGCTTTGCAAATCACTTAATGCTTCTGCTTTGACACAGGTAGCATCAACCTTGCTATAACTAACATCATTAAATCATCAAGAAAGGAAGAGAGGCCAAAATCGCCCTTTCCTAACATACTAGATGTATCAACCACTCCTGAACTTTTATCAAAAACTTCTTCTGATCAAAAAATAACTCGTTCAGTAACTCCTTCATTTTTAAAACCAAAATCAGATCCTGAAGAAGAATTATTAAAACTGAAAAAAGCAGAAAGAGCTGCTTCACCCTTTCCTGAAATACCTGATATGTCATTAGAACATGAATTATTGCAAGGAGATGTTTCTAAAGTTCATGAAAAGGAACCAATTTCATCATTGCGCCCAACTTCTCCATTTCCAGCAATACCAGATGTTACCCTTAATCCAGAAATTCTAGAACAAGACGTTGTTAAAATAAGGACTAGTCCACAGCCGCTTCAAACGTCTTCTAATCTCTCTGAATTTGAGAAAAATTGTGAAATTTCTGAAAACATGGACATGGAACAGATAAAAGATGAAGATCAAGATGAAGTGGTACCTGTACCATTTCCCACAATTCCTAATATTTCTAAATATTTGGCCAAAAATCAAGCATCTTTCATTAAACCAATTCCTTTAAGAAAATACGAACCGATTTTTATGGACAAAAAATACAACTTTAATGAAACTCCACCCAAATACTCTAAACCAGCTTTAAAACCAGAATTTCGATATGCCCTTCCTGAGCAAAAACTTCTAGAACACGGTTTTATATCACCAACTCCTGAAAATTTTAGAACTGTCCAATCAGAAATTTTTGAAAGTCAGGGGCATTTTAATGCAAGTCGATCTTGTTCCCCTTTTTCTGTTTATGTCCCTAAAAGCGAACCACCAGAGAGGAAAGACTCACTTGAGCCACCAAAAAAAGTCATTATTGTGCAAGAGGTTGAAAAAGAAGATAAAAATCCGAAATATGAAGAACAGATGAAAAAGTTGGCATTGTCGACAAATAAAGAAAAATCAGAAGGTATCAAATGTCAGAAAAGTTGTTTCACAGAATTGAAAGAAATACAAACAGCGTACGATCAAGCTGACCAACAACTGTATGAAATGACACGACAAATCCAGAAACAGGAAGATAATGAAATCACTAAAATTCTACAAGACATGAAAAGGACCAGAGAAGGAGAGACAACAGCACAAAATGAGCCTGAAAATAAAAATGAAACTAATGCAGAAGAAATTGTTCCAAGTGAAATGAATGCTCAAAGAAAAGAAGACGATATTTCAAAAACGAAAATTAAGGAAGAAGAAAATATAACTGAAACACTTGAAAGTAAAAATGTTATATCCACTGAAACAACAGAGTTGCAAAGCGAAGTAACAAAAAATTTAAATATTTTAGTAGAAAAAACTTCTTTCGAATCAGCAAACAAGCAGGAACCAGTTTCTGTTCCAAAAGATACTGAAAATTCTTTGCTTTTAGGTGAAGCACAGAAAAAACGTAAAAAGCCTCCTGAAACCATAATCGGTGCCCGCCCAATATTTGGCCAACTGGACATAAACAGTGAGTTTCAGAAAGCTTTTTCAGGCCGACAAAAGTCAATTAAGGATAAAAGATTAAAAGAGGTTGCCAAGAAAGCAGACAAAATGGTTGAAAAAATTGAAAACATAGAAGAAAAGTTTATCAACAGTGAAGTTTCTCAAGTAGAAACTTACCGTCCTAGTAAAAACGACGAAGTTGAAAAGATTTATTATCAGCAAGAAAGAGAATACCATGTGGATTATCAAACAATTCAAGAAGAATTTATTTACCCCGAGGGTGATTTTATGAAGAATTCTTCTTCTGATACTAATGGCAATACATTTATACAACAGTTGACAGAAATAAAATCGAATTTGCACCATCCTCAACCACAAAATTTCCCCAAAAACGAAACTGAAAACGACGATGAAAGTTATCAAAAAATTCCAGTTAAATCATTGATTAAAAATTTTGAACAATCGACGATGCCAGTTTTACGTTACAAGCAAATTCGGGCACCATCACCAAAAGTGGTAGAAAAACTCAGCAAAGGGGTCGAGCGCTTTTCAAACCAAGAACAGTTTCTCAAAAATGCTGAACAAGAATTTGATAATTTGTATTACGTCGCAAATGCAAAAGTTGAGACAAAATATTATCCTTTAGAACAACCGAAAAGCTTGATACAATCAGAAAACAGCTCCTTTTGTAAATACACGTCCCAAAAGTCCCAATTTCAGTCTTCTTTTCAAGAGGAGAATGTTAGAAACAATATAGAGGAAGGCAAGCAAAGTGTCCCTTATGTCTGGTCGATTTTTCTCAAATTCCCCCTCATTGTATAATTGAATGTGTTTATGTTTTGTGTGATAATATCATAAGGTAGAGAGGAGATTTTTTAAATAAAAAATATGAGGTTAAAAAACCTTCTCTACCGTGTTTTATACATTATTTTTTTCACTACTAGTAGATTTATTATCCAGAAATACAGTGTAATACTCCCCAATATCGTTATGTAAGCACCTCTAACCCATTATTGTTCTTGGTCAATAATGAAAATTATTAAAGAAAAACCACTTCACAACCTCTCGACAAACTAAAAAATGGATTTTTTAGTAGTGAAAAAAATACATATGTAACTCGAGTTATTATCTTTTGTTATTTTAGCCTCTAACACACTTCCAAGATCGAAACCAAAACCACCACTTTCACCAAGCTTCAAACCAAATGTGGTTCCACAAGTCTTTGTTCCTAAAGAAACCAACAGTCCATTACCGGAATTACATACTCCATCCTACAGTGCACAAAACGTTTTTACTGAACCTTCAACAATTTCACCATCACCAAGAATCAACTTCAACGCATTGAATAATTACAACACGGCACCAAGAGGTTGGGGACAAGCCCAAAGTTACTACAAACCAATTACATTTGATAAACCTTCAACGCAATATTCAGATTTCTAATCTAATAATATACTCAAGATTTTTTTTGTTATTTATTGTTGTAATTATCACATTTCAACTCAATCTCTTTAGGGATTGTAGAATTGAGATGTGTGAATTTAGACGTTATATTTATGTATATATGACTGGTACTAATTGTAGATTTAGAAAATCAGTTAAAATAACAGCGGATTGAATAAGGATTTAAAAGTTGTCAAACAATAAACTAGTTTTGCTCTCTGAGTGCACAATATTGTTCAATTTTAATGTGAATAAATGAAGTTTTATTTCACTCGTTTTCTTTCGTGTAGTCTTTAATAATATCCATAATTGATAATACTGAGCCGGTGATTGCTCCTGCAAAGGCCAAAATAATTATGAACACATCCTTAAAGACAGTAAAACACGTCAATGATCCACATTTCATTGCCAAATCAAGCATTGCTGGTACTAATAATGCTAAAAAAGATCCAGTCAATGCTCCAATCAGTGAAATAAAAGATGCCAAATTTGCACTGATATTAGCGATAGTATCTGAAAAGAAAAAATATAAAAAAAACAAATTCAAAAAATAAATCATACCTACAAGTTATGAGAACAGCCACTGATCTGTATACGTTTATTATCAAAGTTGGATGATTGAAAGGTCCCCACTTTTTATAAAATCGCGGATAAGCAATTTCAAAAGGAATGTACATGTGCAAAGCAAAGGTAAACATCACTCCAAAACAAATTAAAATTTTTGTAGCTATAGCTAATCTGAAAAAAAATGGCATAAATACAAATTGCAATTCCAAGAAATATGAATAGTCCTTTCCACAATTTTTATAAAAGTTTTAAGCGATTTCACTTGTTTTGTTGTGAAAGACGTAAAGTGATTACGGAATCAAAAACTTTAATTTTTTGTAGATCCAAGAGAATCTCGTACGAAATATCACCACAAAAAATAGTTGTTTACATTACAAGTGTGGTAGGTACAGCGTGAAATTTTAATAGTGAAACATGAAACCAAGATGAGCGCCTTAATAAAACCAAACGCTGTAAAATACCTAACACACAAAAAACTGGGGTCAGTTCTTGGATTAATTCATATTTTGATTTGACAACACGCTATTTGTTTACTATTTTCAGCACAAGCTGGATGAATGAAAAAATATAAATTGTGTCTATTTTTGAATACTGAAAAAACATATAAATAGTATTAATGAACTTTATTTACCATAAAAAAAAAACATTTTTTGGGGTTCCTAAAAGCCTAAAATTTTTGTGTTGTGCGTACGAGGAATAAACAAAAGAAACCGATTTATATTTGGCCCAGTTATACTAACCACTTGTGTGTGCTTAAATAATAAAAATTGAAAATGTGGTGAAAAAACATTTACGTTATGTTAATACAAAAATGTCCGTATATTTTAAATACAGTTGGCAACATTGAATAATGTAGAACTAGAAGACATAAAACAATAACTTACATTTTTTCCAATGTTGCTAACTTAATTTTAAAGTCAAAAATTTAAGCGAATGACAAGTAAAATACCCCTCTTCTTGTGGTAAGTTCAGAAAAGCACTTCCTTTTACATCATCTCCCCACATCCAATAAGCAAATATTCCAACAAGCAAGTAGAGAGCCACTACTACCACCATTGCCACATTTAAAACACCAAAAGCAGTGCTAAAGGATTCAGGATGTCTCATTTCCATTCGTAAAGGAACAATCTATAAAAAAATGATGATAATTTTACCAGAGAAAATACAAAATTTTTACAAAAGTAATTCCACTAAGTGAAAATAAAATGATTCCAAAACAGAGTGGAAGTTTATCAATGTTAGATACCAAATTTCGCTGAGTTTTCAAATCCAAATGTACTATAGAATAATACAAAATCAATATAATTCCAATCCACATAATAATATTTGCTATTAGAGATACTGGAGTCAACAGTTTCAGATTTCCTAAAAAAGTTGACAGCCACATGGGTATCAAAATCAGAGCAAGAATCACACGGTAATCTTGTTTCCAATGGTAACTTTCAGCAATCTGAGAAAAAATAGTATATTACATACCGAGGTGCAAAGTGTTTTTTTTTTTCTATTCAGAGACAGAGGTTTGTTACAATTTTATTCACAACGGCATCTTTAATTTTTTATTGAGTGTATTTACTAATAGATACGTTTAATTGTGATAAAAAGTGGGACTAGAAAACGAGGTTAGTAATAGAGGTAGGTAACGGTTAGAAATGGCAACATTACATCAATTGTGAATAAAATTGTTTATTACCTACGTCCTTTCATGTTGGTAGAGACAGTGGTTTGATTTTTTCACCAAAACCACTTTATTTTTACCTCGCCAAGATGTTTTGAAACAAAAATGAAGTAGACAACGCAAAATCCATATTCTGCGAGAATTAAAAACACATCAGTGGTGATTCCAAAAGCTTTGGAATGTTTTTTCAACCAATTGGAATCACAATCTTCAAAAGTGTATTGAACCGTTTCAGCAAAACTTGGTAAAACAGGAACCGTTTCTTTATCTGTAATTTCAATACATGCTCTAATCTAAAAATAAAATGTTCAAAAAACAGAATTTGGTTTTTATATCAATCTTGCAAGTATATGTTGGCAATGCAAATTTACTACTCCTATAAATATTAATAGCAAAGGGCCTAAAAGCATCCCACTGTTCATAAAACCAGCACCCATTGCAAAAATTCCTGTACCAACGTTTCCTTTTATTGCATGTGTTAGGGTCTCCAAATAACTATAGATTTTTTATTAAAAATACAACAAAGAAATAAATAAATTTACTGTGTTGGTTTTTTGACTCCTGTTATATTACCACCACGTACCACAAGGAAAGGTCTAAAAGGATTATCATGTTTTTCCTAAAAAACTCTCTTACTAACTCACCTTGTTGTTTCTTGTTGAGATTCCATCTTAAATTTTAGGAAATATTTTTCAGACTAATAACCATTTTCAAAGTGACAAATTTCAAAATTTTCTGACTACTTGATTACTCGAAATGAAAATAATTATCATAATTTTGATTTCCAAATTAATATACAAAAACCTCAAAGTTTGCGAATATTTTTTTTCTAAGATTTATTGTCTAACAAACGCATTATTTTCAAAGCACGGGTTTTTTACACCTTAAATACAATTTTTGAGAACGAATGGTTGCTGTTTTCGGACGAGACAAAACCGAGAAATATAAAGTTTATTTAAAGATATTGGAGAGAATATTAAGAGCTTTATAAAACTTTCCAGAAAAAAGTGAGTTTGTGAATTACAAGAAAAGTTTAAAGACCGATCTGAAGGGTATCGTATTTTAATGCGAAAGAAGGAAAAAGAAAAACAAACGATTTGTGAGAAAAATGTGTAGATATTTTTGCAAAACCGGTCAGCTAGGAGGATACAAAGGGCCATAGTTTCGGCAAATAAAGAAAAAGATCCTATAGGTGGTAAGAAGAAAAAGAAGAAAGAAGAACCGAAAGCAATAGAATTCAACTTGTTTAATAATAACTGAAAAAGTGGAAATTCTAACCAAAAGAAAAAAAATATTCAATTTCTAAGTTTATTCTTTTTTTCTAACAAAAGTTATTGAAGTTTGAAGTCACTTATTCTTATACTCTTGTATGATACTCATAATAGACATTACTGTGCCAGTAATAGCCGCACCAACAGCGATGATAATAATAATTACATCTTTCACAATAACGAAATATGTTAATGACCCATACAAGATTACAAGTTCAAGTAAAGCAGGTAAAAACAATGCTAAAAAAGCACCAGTTAAAGCTCCAATTAGCGAAATAAATGTTGCTAAATTTGCACTAATATTTGCTAAACCATCTGAAATATGTTTTACAGAAATTTAACATTTCATTAGCAAACACCTTACAAGTTATTAAGACTGCTACTGATCTGTAAATATGCATAATCAAGATAGGATGGTTAAAAGGTCCCCATTTTTTATAAAATTGTGGATAAGCAATTTCAAAAGGAATATACATATGTAAAGCAAACGTAAACATTATACCAACTGATATTAAAATTTTAGTAGCTATAGCCAACCTAGAAAAGTAAAAAAAATAATTTTGAATTGAATTCAATTATGATTAAATACCCTTCGTCTTGTGGTAAATTGAGAAAAGCACTTCCTTTTACTTTATCCCCCCACATCAGATAAGCAAATATTCCAACAAGTGAGTAAAGTATTATTATTACAACCATTGTTACATTTAAAATTCCACAAGGACTAGTAAAAAAACGTGGCTCTTTCATTTCCATTTGTAGAGGTATAATCTAAAAAGTAAGCTTTAGAAAATTATTGTAAACAGACTCAATATTACAAAAGTAATTCCCTCAAATGCAAATAAAACCATTCCAAAAAATAGAGGAAGTTTTTCAGGGTGTGATATTAAATTTCGCTTAGTAGTTGTTATATCTAAGTTTGCAACAGAATAGTACAAAACCAACGCAATCCCAATCCACATTATTATGTTTGCAATTAAAGAAACTGGAGTTAACAATTTTAGGTTACCTAAAAAAGTCGAGAGCCACATAGGAAATAGAATAATTGCAAGGATGACGCGATAATCTTGCTTCCAATTGTAAGCCTCAGCAATCTGAAAGAAATTTCTAATTACTTTACATACATCATTTAGAATACTAAAAAAATAAAGCTTGTTTTTCTTAAATTTTTATTGCAGTTTTTTTGTGAACACTCTTTGTTTTTTACCTCGCCAAGATGTTTAGAAACAAATATGAAGTAAACAACGCAAAATCCATACTCTGCAGCAATTATAAAAACATCCGTTATTATTCCAAAAGCTTTTGAGTGTTTTTTCAACCACTCAGAATTGCTGTCTTCAAAAGTGTATTGTACCGTTTCTGCAAAACTTGGTAGCACTGGAACAGTTTCCTTTTCTGCAATTTTAACACAAGCTTTAATCTATAAGTAATCAATAGACATATTAACATATTTAAATGAAATAATACACTATTTACAAGTAAATGTTGACAGTGCAAATTTATTAAAGCTATGATAAGTAATAGCACAGGGCCTAAAAGCATTCCACTGTTCATAAGGGCTGCTCCCATTGCAAAAATTCCTGAACCAACATATGCCTTTATCGCGTGGATTAGTGTTTCTACGTAACTACAAAACATCAATTTTAATGCTACAAAAACCCAAAAATTAACAAATTACTTTGTTGGTTTCTTTACTCCTGTTACATTAGCACCACGTACTACAAGAAAAGGTCTGAAAAACAGTTGAAATTAAATAAGACAAAATTTACTAACTGACCTTGTTGTTTCTTGGATATCCATATTAAAATATCTTTCAAATTCTAATAAAAATAATGATAGTTTACTTAAAATGACAGCTGCAACTATTCACATTTGTTACAACTTTGTTATTGCTTGATTTTATTATAAAATTTCCATAATTCCGTGTTATAAATGTAATTAAAAAAATTTTAAAGTAAAACTGAAATTGTTAAATTACATAGTACAGGGTTATTCATAAATATGAAGCAATATTTGAACCTCAAAAATGACCTATAAAATAATGTTAATTTTAATAATAACTAGTGTCCTATCTCTACTGATAAGAATTTTATAGCCCTCGGAATGTGAGTATGGAAATTTATTTTTTTGTAATAACTTTGGAACCTTTTGACCAAATAATACACTCACCGGCAAAATTATCGCATCATCATCATTTTTTATTGAAATAATGATTAAAAATAAATAAATGAATTAAAAATTAATGAATTAACTAATTAAAAAACTTAAAAAACTTCAACAATTAAACTACAATTTAATGATTCTCAAAAGAAACAAAAAAAACGAATTTCCTGCGGATCAGTTCTTTAGCTTAGATAAGTTTTTCCACGCTTTTCTTACATTCGGAGGCAACCATTATTGCCTCCTCGAGCTTGGAAAGAAGCTCAGTTTTTTTATTGTTGTTTCTCGAAAATTAGCGGTGATTTTGGTAATTTGACATTTTATCAGTAGACAATGAGTCTACACTATTTTTTTTTAAATTCATAGTCGACTAAGTTACTTGATAATCCTATATCATCAATTATAGTATTATTTTCAGAACCCTTTAGCCATTAAACCATAAAATTTAAGTGATGCGATAATTATGCCGGTGAGTGTGGTTGGGTGTCCCAACATTAACTTGGGGATTTAAATTTCACATTATTTATTTAAATATATCATCAACTATGGCTTCGCCCACTCCATACAACTTCGTTATAGGTTATTCACGTTATAGCAATAAACTGAAACTCAATGAAGAAAGACTCAGGAATTATTTATATCTTCAAAACCCAACAACGTCACATCGGTAAAATTCTTGGGATTTCACCTGAATAGCAAAGCTTCCTCGAAGGTCCACATTCAGGAAACCTGCAAAAACCTAGCATCAGCTTTATTCAGTATCAGAAGAATCAAGAACATCTCAACTCCCCAAGCTGCAGGGATGACATACTTTGCTAACTTCCACTACAAAGCCACCTACGGTATACTTCTATGGGGTACTTCATCTGATGCTGACAAGATCTTCGTCCTACAAAAGAAAGAAATCAAAATTCTGTGACAAATGAATTATCGGGAAAGCTGCCGCCCAGCCTTCAAACCACAATGCAATTATCATTCAGTATCGTCATTGTCATTTTTGACAAACGCTACAAATTTATTATAAACTGAGCAAAATGTAGACTATAGAACACCATGTGGACATATTCGAACGATGAGAACACTGACATTATTTTAGCTTATGGAGAATGTTCTCTTGCTGCCTGTGTGAGGTCCAATGACATCCCGAAAGAAAGAGCATCTTTTGACAGGATCAGTTAGTTTGGAAAAAATGAATGAGTACTTTCCGTAATTCGTCTTTTAATATACATACACATTATTGTGTTGGTATTTCAATTACTTTTGTTTTTTATTATTTTAATGTCAAAACTAACAAATTATAGTGTGCTTGCTATGATTTCATATTTATTACCAAAAATCTTATAAATCTACCTGACCTTTAAAAATGTAATGTTGGTTGCATCGAGAAGTTGGTCAGGCTCATTATTCGTCATGAATCACCCTGTATATTTAAATTTTACAAGTATTTCGATTGTTTACTTGGCATTGACAATTTAAAACAATTGCAAGCAAACATTGACTTAACTTGGGCAAACTACTTCTTCCCAACACTGTCTAATGATTAAACGGTAGATTAATGTGGTCTTTATTATATAGAGTGTCCCAACGAAAAATTTTCAAAACAGTGTACAAAACTCGCTGGAAAAATAGCTAAGTTGCATTTTATCAGGTGTTTTTATTAAAATTTTAAATCACAGTCGCTTTAAAACACCAAACCGTCAAAAGCTATAAATTTGTCATTTTTGACATATAAATTAATTTCATATTTTGAAATATTTTACCAAATTTATTTTTCTTTTTATTACAATGGAAGCTAAAGAATCTGTTCAAACCACTTCCACGTCAGAAGGGCGCAGGTAAAATAAAGTATATCGTCAAAGACACATTTATTTATTTTGTTTTAGATTTGCTAGTTCGGTTCCCACACACGAAGCTACAGGAGTAAAACCACTAACGGGGTAAATAAACCATAACACCATAAGCAATCCTAATTTTTTTCTTTTAGTTATTTAACAACAATGATGCATCTTGCTAAATGTTACGTTGGCACAGGGATTTTTGCTATGGGGGAAGGTTTCAGAAACAGTGGACTTATTCTAGGACCTGTCCTACTTGCGTTCTTAGCTCTATTAAATTTAAATTGTCAACACATTCTAGTAAGATTCAGTTTTTGCAAAACTTTTGAAAACCCAATTTTAAGGTCAAAACTGTTATAAAAGTTGCCGAACAAGAAGAAGAAGATGTAAAACCCACTTTTGCTGAAACTGTTGAATACACATTTGAAACCAGTTCTATAAAATGTTTGCAAAAACATTCAACAGGCTTAGCATGGATGACAAACATTTTTCTTTGTTGTACTGAATTGGGATTTTGCTGTGTTTATTTCGTATTCATTGCAGATCATTTAGTTCAAGTAAACGTAAAAAACAATTAATTAAACAATAAAGGTACATTGCAGATAGCTGAAAATAATAATTTAATGGAAATAAACAATCCTTCAAACAAACACATAGTGCTGGCAATTATATTACCTCCAATGTGGGCTTCAACGTTTTTAGGAAATTTGAAATTGTTACTTCCTTTATCAATAATTGCAAATTTCTTAATGTGGGCGGGTGTAGTAATAATTGTTTATTTTACTGTACAAGATCTTGATCCAAGTGCTTGGACTACAAACGCAGTGAAGCCTATTTATCGATTGCCCTTGTTTTTTGGAACTGCACTTTACGCTTTTGAAGGAATAACATTTGTTAGTGTTATTTTGTTTTTAAATAATAAATTCTCTAATTTAGATTTCAGGTCATTCCATTACGAAACGAAATGAAAGAACCTGAAAAATTTCTGAGTACTTTTGGTGTACTCAATGTGGGAATGACGTTTGTTGCATTTCTATACATATTAGTTGGTATACTCGCATATTGGAAGTATGGAGAAGATGTTGAAAGTAGCGTTTTTTTAAATATTACTGCTGAAAACAAGATGTATGTAACCACATTTGTTTAAAAAAAATATTTTTTTTATTAAGATTGCCGGACATTATCAATTCTATGATGGCCATAGCAGTGTTATTCACTTTTACTCTCCATATGTATGTACCATTTGAAATCACTTTTCCGTTATTTTATCGAAAATATGGACCTTTCAAACATACACGTCTTGTAATGATTGTATACAGATCAATTCCAGTTTTGGTGACATGTAAGTAAAATTAAATAGTCTATTCTTTATCTTATATGAAAGAACGCATATCAACAATGTGTCGTAAAAATTTTATTTTAAAATAGTTTTTAAGTGTGTGAAACGACAATTTCACGTACATAGTACTATAAACAACATTTATCTATAATATATGTATTTAATTTAATTATTATTTAAAATACTTAAATAATATTTAACTGTGATATTTCTGACAGTGTGTGAAATGCATCATCCTTATTTCACACATTAATGGCAATCTCGTACCTTTAAAATATTGGCTAATTTGGCGCGTATTAATAAGGATGATAAAGTTTACCTTTTTTTCATATACAGTCAAATTCGCCGTTAATGTGACGTTTTGGCATCAAATAAATTTTTTAGACTTTTATGAAGCCAAAACCTCCTATCTCAATTTTTTACGATTTTCAGTCAGATGATTTATACTACAGAAAAATCCAATCCTCAGAAGTTACAAGACTGCGCATCTCAATACCTCATATCTCAAAACTGTTTTGAGCTTAGGTTTTGAGATGCGCCTGGTGAATCGAATTTTCTACAGTAGTAACCACCTGTCTCAAAATCGTAAAAACTTGAGACACGAAGTTTTGGTTTCGCACCGACGATATTTCAAAAACAGTTGAATAAAAACAATTTTGTAATATTTTTTTCAGTTACTATGGCAAACGTGATTCCATTTTTGGGCCTTTTTATATCATTTGTGGGTGCATCGGCAGGAGCATTTTTGGCACTGATATTACCGCCCATATTAGAATTAATTGCATTTAAAGGCCAACTTTCAATTTTTGAGATCATAAAAAATTTATTTATAATTATTGTTGGTGTATCTGGATCAATAGCTGGGACAATTTTAAGTGTTAAAGATATTGTAGAGAAATTTCTAGAAGAATATTCCTGATTCATATATTAATACTTGTACATTTTTTAATTTATTAATACAGAGTTCTAACACATTTTTATGTTGATATATTTAAACAAAGATTGAATAAATGGACTAACTATTTCTGAAGGTATTATCCATTTGTTTTTAATTAAAAAAAATGTGAGTGTCAAAATTCTGTCAAAAATAATCTGACTTTTCAAAATTGTATTTTTTATTTTTTTTGCACTTTAATAAGCAAGAAAATGGCTAAAAGAAGATCAGATTCGCCGGAACTTGGCCACAAATTTGGTAGACCTGATATTGAAAGAATTGGATTGTTCAGTGAAATGGTGTATTTAAGTGCAAAAACGTACCCAAAAAAGAAAATTCACAGTTAAGTTCAACAACAATTTAAACTTGTTTATAATTTTAAATGTTTAGGAGAACCAAGAAACATGTATTGTGAAGGACGGAAATCTAAAAATGGGACACAGCATGGATATTTTGATCTTGAATTTAAAAGAGTTTTTTCTAAAGAGGCAATAAAAGGGAGAGGAAGAAAACCGTAATTTAGAAAACCTCAAAAATAATTCTTTTCAGTGTGCTTTTAAGGGCCCCTCCAAAGTTCAAAAACGTTTCAGAACGTCCTTTTTTACCTCCAATTGGTTTCAAACATCATTCATGTCCTGGTGATTACTATGGGACATTTAGTGGAATTATTGAAGCTTTTGGTAATAAGTTAAAACCAAAACCTCCAAGAAAATCTCAAGGAAGAAATTTATTGTCAAATCCTGGAAAATTAGGAGGTCCTGGATATGCAGACATATGTTTAAGTCGTTATCCAGAACACAAGTATTATTTGTATTTTTGGTGTACCTATTTTAACTATGAAACATTTCCAGACCTGACAGGTACGGTTTGAAACCTAAATATAAAGAATATGGGAAAAATTTGGGAAGAGCTATGGTCAATGTTCATTACCCTCAACCATTCTTCGACAAAAATCCCTTTGCTGACCCACCAAACATCAAATCTGGACCCACTTATGTTAGACCAAAAGATAAAGAATTTAAAAGTCTTCATCCTGGTTATATTGTACCCACTGGGCCGGGAAAACTGGTACCTAATACGAATCAAAAAATTAAACCAAAACGATTTTTTCCTACGACCCTAACAGAATGTTGTTTTTTTCACCTTAGTTTCAGAAAAAAAAGTGTCCAATTACCCCTCAGAGAGTTAAAAGTTTAACCCCCAGGGAAGTAAACATTTTACCTCCCTCATCTGTCAAAATTACAATAAGTATTATACCGGGTGTCCCAGGCAGTCTTGGATATAGGAAATTAACATGGAAAATTAGCTTTTCATTTTTTTCCGGCTGCAGGAGTAACAGAAATCAAAATCTGATTTATGGAGCTTGTAGTGCTCGAAAAGGGTTATCTTATCGACATTTTTGTCGATTTTCCAATTAACTTTCTTTGGACGAAAACAAATCGATATTTGAATAGCAAACCTGTATATTACCGTCTAAGGGAAAAAAATCATATTACTGCTCTGAAATTGATGTGTTTGCCAATCTTTAAAAGCTTAGTAATTGGCATATTACATTAGTGATTGTGAATAAAAATATTACAATACTTTTTTAATCAAAGTTAAGCGTTTTTTTGTTATCAATCGTTTGCTGGTTTTAGACAAAATAAATAAAAACATTCTATTCTTTACACAGCCTCTATTTAATTTAATTTTCAAATTGTTTAAAAACAAATGTTAGTGATAAATTATAAATGATGAGCTTGTTGAAAGACTTTACTGAGAAATTTAAATAATAATAAGATATACAGGGTGTCCCATTTAAAAAACTTAAATTGAACGCTTTGGGGTTTTCCTCAATCCAACCTGTATAAACAACCAGAGAAGAAAAATTTTACCTCTCGTTACCTCTTCCATAGAAAATGGAAATGAGAAAACATACTGGTGACACTGAGACATCAAGAGAAATTGTCAGTTTTGTAGTTTCTTTTAGGTGGGTCGTAGGAAAAATTATATGCATTACATTGGAGGAAAGTGTAGGGTGGAAAAGACACACTTTCCTCTCTTGTAATACCAATAATTATTACACTACTCTTACAGCAAGGAGGATGTCATGATGGATGCTTCGATAAATTTCCCGAATACAAATCTGATAAATACGGAGTACGAGTTAAGAAACCTCATGAAAAAGTTTTTTATCCTCCATCAACCGCCATGAAAAGCTATTACAATACATCTGTTTTGTTTCAAAACGTTGATGTTAAACTTAACAAAGAAAATTATGAAAATTTTCAGCCAGTTTATAATAAATACATAATAATTAATGATTAAGAACACGTTTTTCTGTTACTTTTTCCACAGCATTTGGTATCAAATAAAAATAATGTTCAACATTTTTTTTCTACAACCGTAAGATATGCAGATGTCCAAAAAACGTTAAAATACCTACTTCTTTGACTTCTTAGGTCAAAAAAAAGAAGTTTATTGTTGTCCTCGATGCTGCTCTTGGGTAATCAACAGCTCGACTATAAAAATCTCTTCTCCACCTTGTGATATAATATACTATTATACCTATTTAATGTGTTGTGTTTTCTTGACAAGGAGTGAAGGAATCGGAAGGTAAAAGAAAAAGAGATATCATTCATAAAAATATTTATCACTAATCAAATATTACAAAACGCAAAGAATCACTTATATGGTAAAATGTTTATCTGAATTATGATACACATGTATATACATAATAAATTAATAATTAAAATACAACCACTATTCCATTAGAACGTCACTTATTGCTCACAGTCTGGGTTCTCGTTCTCGTCATTGTTAAAAGCCTTCACAATGGAATTTATACTTTCGTAAGTTCCTGTAGCGCATCCCACGATTCCAAATATTAAAATTATCACATTTTTTATAACTGTTGTACATTTCAAATCTCCGAAACTGTAGCTGGTTACAAGATCCAAAATTGGAGGAAAGATTAACGCTAGTGTTGAACTACTAACAGCTCCTACTAGCGAAATAAAATGATTCAAAAATGGTATGGCTTCCGCCAAGATAACTAAAATTCGACTGTCAATATCACACTAAAAAACTTTTAACACTTACATGTTATTAAAACTAAAACAGATCTAAAAGTTAATTCGGCAAAAACTGGATACTTGACAGGTCCTAACAGTTTTTGGACATTTGGATACATGATCTCAACAGCAATATAAAACTGAAGAGCGTAAGTGAAAAGGATTCCCAGTGAAATTATTATTTTCACAGACTGGGCTAATCTGAAATGAAATTGTTATATTCTGAATTATATTATTTTTTTTAACTTACACATCACTCGTTGGTAAATTAAGAGTAACGCTACCTTTTATGCATTCGCCGTATTTTAGATACGAGAGAGAACCAATTAGAATGTAGAGAATAGTGACTACACTCATCCCAACATTTAAAACTCCAAATGGTTTTTTAAAATCAGACGGTTTCTTCATCTCGTTTTGCAACGGCAAGACCTTAAATCAAAAATTTAGTGTGTTTTTTTTAAACAGAAATATCAAATAGTCTTAATTTGGTAATTTTAATAGAGGAAATTGTCAGTTACGGTTTTAGGAAATTTGGATGTGAAAAGTGTATGTACAAGCAAAATAGGAACAGCATCATATTTTAAGCTAGAAAACAAATATCTGAATTCTAAAAATGGAAACGTCTGTTCTTAAAAACGAATTTAGTGTAAAGTTTTTGAAAGTCTAGAATGTTTTGTTTTTGGGCTATTTCTATGACAGACATGAGAATTAAGTATTAAAAATAAAATAAAATGTGCTGCAACACCTCCGCTTTCTAGAAGTATTGTAATTTGAATACAAGTAAATAATTTTGCAACATACTGAATTGAAAGTAAAATCGGTAACTGAGCTATACTTCAAACTAAATATACTGTTCAATAAGAAATGACGTTTACAATGGAAAAGATTTTTTGTTGTGGTTTATGCCTCTAAGGGTTCAGCCTCTAAGGGTCCGCGCGGTTTTTTAGGAGAACAATCTTTTATAAGCTGATTATATGCACAAATAAACGTGTTCTCTTACGTCCAAATGTATGAAACAACTGCATCAGTTATGTTGGGAAAATCTTTGTCTTTGTGATGTGCTGGAAGGCAATTTTAAAAATTTATTTAAAAAAACTACTTGATAAAGAATCATTTTATCTAGTTAGAAGACATTTTTAGCTCATAATCTTTAATTAAAAAAATTCTCATAGTAGATTGGAATTAAATTTTTTTGTTGCTAAACTCGAAAACTAAAAAGAATTTCGGAAAATTTTATTCTTGAAAATCGATTTTATTTTTATAGTACGTACTTTACACTGCACTAATATTTTTTTTCATAAAGTAGGTAATTAGTTTATACAAAAACGATTGGTTTCGTACTTTTTATTCACCCGGTAGAATAAAGTGTCAAAAATCAATTACATAGTTATTTCTAAAATCGTGTTTAAACCTGTAATAATTAACTTAAATTTCCTAGATTCTAGAATCAAAACTTTTAAATACATTATAGAAATTCTTTAATACAGAATTTAATAAAATAAAAATTTCTGTTCAAACTACTTGTTGTTGGATCTTCTTGATATAGGAAAGATGAACACAAACACAGTTTAAGCCCGACACACTATAGACTTTTATTTTAACACTATTATACTGTTTAACAGTTTGGTATGTCGGATTTAAATTGTGTTTGTGTTCATTATTCCCATATCTATTTAAAATGAATTTTAGAAGTATATTTATATTTAAAATCAGGATGTTATAGAAGCTAAATTCACAGTTTTTGAAATTCTAATATTAGAATGTATGTTTTTGGGATGCTTTTTATTAGAGATTTGAGTTTTAAAAGTAGGTACCGTTAAAATTTGTAATAAAGGTTTGCTAAAGATACTCTAATTTTCAGCAAGAAATTGACGAGAATACAAAATAAGCATGAATGAAAAATACGCAATTAAATTTTTGAACAAGTTGAAGAATTTTAAACCTAAAGTTGAAGAAGAAATTACAACATACATGTATCAACCTCAAGCTAATTTCGACAAATTACATAAAATTTATTTTATTGCCAATCTTTATAATTCCTGCTTGTATTTTGCAAAATAGCTTTTATTCTGTAAATTCATGCTTTTTTATTAATTGCATTGTTGCCCACAACATTGTACTTACTTGCAGTGTGTTTCTGTGAATGTTAATAACACTGAATTCTGTTTGTAGACATTAATTGTTTTAAAAAAAATTCTAAGGTTAAAAAAGTGTTGACTTGGTGATTTTCGTTTAAAAAATAACTAGAATTTTACAACTTACAAGTCCGATTCCTTCAAAGGCAAACACTGCAGTCCCAAAGAAAAGCGGTAATTGCGATAGTTCCGCATAGTAATTTCGTTCTGAAAACGCCGGTAAATCTTGAGTTGTGTAATAAATTGTAATGATGAGCCCCAACAACATGAAGACATTAGCAACAGTAGAAAACGGTGCAAGATATTTTAAGTTACGAATTAGAGACGTACAAAGGATTGGCAGAAGGATTATTGCCATATGAAAATGGACGTCCAACTCATAGCCATAGTAATCCAAAACCTAAATAAATTAAGATTATTTTTTGCAAAAAAAAAAACGTGCCATTACCTTTTTAATGTTTTCAGATATAAAAACAAAATAGACACAACAAAAACCCAATTGGGTTATACACAGAAACACATTTACAAGTCTTTTCATAATTTTTGACATTTTTTGCACTGGTGGAGGACCACTGGCAAAACAGAGTTCCACTGTTTCGGCAAAATCTGGAGGGACGGAAACTTCTTTCATCGATTTCATTTTTAAGGCCGCTGATAACTGAAATTACAAGAAAAAACAAATTAATAATCATAAGCTTTATTAATTATAATTAAATATTGACAATTAACTAAAAATTTCAACGAACAATGAGCATAATACAGATAAAAAAATTGTGTCTAAGAATGAAAGATTGTTCCCAATTCTTATTTAAAATAACCTTGAATTTAATTTATCTACTCGAAGGCGTTTAATTAGTAAAAAATGTAATATTCCGATACTTCAGCTTCCTTAATCTTATCTGTAAGCACCTAATTGAAACATTCATTCTAGTCACCAACGCAAATAAAAACATTATCAAAAAATGCATTTTTATATTCTGTGGTAGAGGTAATAAAAAAAATAGTTAAAAAGACAAAACATGTAACATATTTTATTTACAATAAAACAAAAATGCATGACAAAGTTTTACAGTTTTTTTTTTACTTTAATATATAGATAAGTGTACGTAATTTGGTTGCAACCACAAAAACAAATTTAATACCTTATAATAAAAACTTCATTAATAAAAGTTGCAATAATTCGTCTTTTACCAGTAACTAGGACAGTGCAATATTCGTATACCAATTACTTAGTGACAGTAAATGATTATGAAAAAAAATCTATTGGCAAACTGAATTAATGGTTCTAATTCTTTTAGTCTGTATTATTAGATTATTTCAGGTGACGGCTCAAAAATGTATAAAACTGTGTCGCTTATATTTCGTAGTTGACAAATTAAAATTTCAAGTTTGTTGCTAGCAAAACTGTGACAAAAATCACAGTCGTTTACAGTCACTCGGTTTAACTAGAATAACTGATAATTGAGTGTAAGCAATAAATTTCTTGGCACAATCATTTATATGCATTCTCTATAAGGTAATTAATATCTTATAAAAGCTTCATTAATAAAAGTGTGTGCATGTAACTAAAACTGCAACAAATTTAATTTTAATTTTAGATTTTAAACAGGCATTATTTAGTTGAGAATAAAACGTAATGTTTCAAAAAAAAAACACAAAGTTAATAAAAATTAAATTTTGGCATGTGTTCAAAAAAAAAGGTTTTATATAAATTTGCGTCTTGATTTCGCATTCGAAGATTTAAATAATATAACAATGTTTTAAGTAAAAGTAAAAAAAAATATAAAAGTAAAATAAATGATTATAATTTTTGACCAAATTTAAACGTTCCTTTAATGATTTATACAGAGTAAATGATTGTGACACTAAATTTATTGGCAACCCAGAATTATTGATATTATTCTTTTAATATTCTTTTAATATTTCTTTTGTCACAATCATTTATAGTCACTCTGTATAATGTTGGATTTTTTTCTCTATCTACAACTCTATTCGGTCCACTTAACTATTTCGGTACTTAACTACTACAATTTTATACTAAACATTTCCCTTCAATTGAGTATTCTGGAAAAACCTTGACAATAATTTACCTACGTTTTTCATGCATTCTTCAAAAGATACCTGTGTAACCGATAAACATAGAAATAAAATATTTCCTTAAAGTAATTAGCAATCATAATAGCTTCTCCAAATGTTACATCAAATACATATTTATTATAAAACAAGTAGGTAAATAAATAATACAAAATCAAAAAAAAAATTGTTCAAGTACAAGGTAAATAACTCTTTATTATCCAATTGTGTAATTTTGGTGTAAAATCATGCAAAAAATTTACAATGTCTTGATAAAATAATAATAGTTTTTACCTATTATCACAAGTATTACTAGGTGACAAAACTTGTACTAATTACTGATTGAAGAATTCAATAGATCATTGAAAGTTAAGAAAACAATAAATGATAACAATAAGAAAACAAAAGTTTTTGATAAAAAAACATTATTTTGTTATTTGAGAATGGCCTTGGCTCACTTCACAAATAAAATATGAAAAGAGAACAAAAATCAATTGTCAATCATGATATGATATGACGTATAATACGCGGAAAACATGATCAAGTACTCTGATTAAGCAAGACCTAGAGATCCATACAATATCTTTATTAGTATTCCGTTCACAACCATAATTTGCTATAAAGACATGAAATTGCTAAAACAAGCAAAGTGAAGAAAAATTCACACCAGGAAATATTTATTAAGATAATTATTTGATTAACACGAAGATTGCGTGTAGGTGATATTTTTCGCAAAATAACGCATGTAATTACGAGTTCTAGTTTTATCTGGATTTTTATTCGTGGCCATACCACACCCGTGTGGCAACAATAGATTTCTGCCATAGGAGACAAAAAAGTGAAACTTTCCTCAGAGACTATAAAAATTTATATTGTTTACCTATTTTGAGAGAGGTGTTTTGAAATAATTGTCAATTTGTATGTACGAGGAAGTACTTTCGTATCAAAGAGATTTTATGGCAATTATAAAATTGCCATTAATTTTATCAAAAGATCAAAAAATTACTCATTTGTATGCTCCTCACATTTTTCATAAATTCAGTATTGTTTCACTTTAACAAATTGTTTATTTATAATAAAACCTTCAGTTTTGAAGTTTTGCTGAAGCGGAAAAATCAATCAAGCATTAAAGATTACAAGAATGGTTGCTTTTAAATATTAATTGTAACAAAATTGCTAACATCCCGTTATTAGATCGCAAGAACATGGACAAACATTAATAACTAAAGTATTTCTGCTGATGACACGTAGGTTGGTAAATCCACATTGTGTGATTACCCAAATTATTTTATGAGTGACATTTCTAATAACCACATGTTAAGAAACTTACTTTGCACTTTTCTTTTTTGTTTAACATCTTAAAAATAATTTCAAAAAATATAAAAAAAGAAAAACAAAAATTAATTCAATTTTAAACTACACTTGGTAAATGTAAACAGGATGCGCCAGAACTCGCGCCCCAGAGAAAAATGCCGTCTAAGGTAAGATACCAGGAACATGGAAAAAATGTTAAAAAATTCTATCTATAAAAATTTCAAAGTTATGAGAATTTAAATTTTGCACTTTGACTCTGTTTATTTCTGTTGGAAGAATATTTTTTTAATTTTTTTTGCTACAGGCTATTAGAAGACAAAACAAGGAAGCTGCATCCTAAATTGTAATGTTGCTTAATGTTATTTGTGGCGTTTATTGGCAAAAATTTTTTTTCTTTACTAAATAATTATTAAAAAACAATATATAAGATATACAAGATCATCCGTATCATTAAATAGACATAAAAAAATGTCTAATGTCAAAAAATAAATGTCTTNAAAGTAGATTTGTTTATGCATAATGTACAACCTTTAAATTAAAAGTGTACAAAAATGTTTTTTTCTATCTCTGTGTAACATACGAAATTAAATTAATATTAAAACTAAAAAGTTAAATGCAAGTGAATTATCAAAAGTCCTCATAAAAATCGATTTCTTTAAGAAAATAGTTATTCCATTAAAATAACGAGTTACATAGCAGTTTTGGGATTATCAATCATCAAGTTCTAAAAATCATATTCGTTTTGAAATTTGACAGTTAGCAATCTTAAACTACCTTGCATTCTTCAAACCTTCGAGTATCAAATATAAACAAAATTATTCAGTTATTACAAAAAGTTCAGGAGCTGTGATTTTTTTAATAAATACAAAGACGTATCATGCAATATTATCAAATTTTACATGCTGATCAAAATAGCAAAATTAAAATAGGAAATGCCACCAATTTTAATTAATAAAATTATAGTTGAGAAAATGATTTTATTAGTTTTTTTTATGACATTTCATCTAACAGAATAAAAAAATCACCAAAGTAGATCAAAAATTACATTCTTTTGGTCGTTTTCGGAGCATTTTAGTACGTACCATTTTGCAAAATTTTTGTTGCTTTTTTAGAAGCGTTTAGTACGTTTTCTAATCCAGAAAAAAAATTTGCAAAATTTTGTTAAAAAGAATCCGAAAATTCACTAAATTAGAACAAACATTGTGTTTTTTTTTTATTTTTAAGTGTTTAAATATGTTTTTGAAATAGATACAAAGTATTTTCGAAAAATTTTGTTAAAACTAGCTAAAAATTTAACATTATACATTGAAATTGGTATTATTTTAGCTTGTTTTGCTCGATTTACTCGTAGTTTGTATTAAATCTTAAAAAAAACACAAAATCTAGACATTATTTTTGTCTTTTTCAAGTCTTTTTGCAATATTTTTCAAAACTTCATTAAAAACAAGCCAAAAAAACTATAGAATTAGACCAAGAATTGAGTTATTTTTGCCTTATTCGCGCGTTTAAGCACATTTTTGTACATATTTCCGAGATTTATGTAAAAACGTAAACCTTCGACAGTATTAGAAAACATAATTTTGTAATTTTATAAAAATAGATGTAAGTATGGTAACTTTTTCGGCTCAGATCTGGTGAATTTAATTTCTTTGGGCTAGCAACGCTGTCGGATGTTCAGCCTTTTGGAAATAATTTAGTTGAATCAAGAATGGTCGATTTTGGTCGCGTGTAAAATTTCAAAATGGTAGCTACACTGGAAGTTGAAAAGTTTCTAATGTAGGCCTTACAAGAATCACCCTGTATACTAATATCTAGACTAGAAAATAGTACTTTATACCGTCAATTTTTTTGTTACCTTTGTACACTAAACGTTAATTATAGTTATAGATCGCAAAATAATTCGGGCTTAGTTAATTTGTCGATCAAATTTATAAATTATAAATTTCAGATCAGATCAGATTTGCCAACTTAATTTCAGAATCATAGGTGTTTTATTTGAAGAGTTTTTAATTTTTATTAAATGAATAACAAAGTTTGCTGATGATTCAAAAACAAAAACTTTGCAAATGTAATTTTCGCCAGTGTTTGACGTTGTGTGATATTACTTATCAGTCAAGGTTACACGGAACTTATTCGACACTTAAATTAAACCATGGGCAAATAATTCAGTGTCCCGTCATTGTATGTTCTTTTATGTGCAGTTATGTAACATTTATTTTATTTTAATGCTTACCAATAAGTGTTGGCAATGAACACAAATGATCCCTAACAAAAGAACGATTCCGGGTCCAACGAGAATTCCGGCGTTCCGGATCGCGTCTCCCATGGCGAAAATCCCTGATCCGACATTCCCTTTGAAAAGGTGCATCAAGGTCTCACCATACCTTAGAAAAGAAGAAAATGTATCAGAGCTATCAAGGCTAATAAAAAAACCCAAGTGAATTATGTAAGGAAAATAGAGGTAATCAACGGAAAGTCATTACCTCCTCGTACTTACGACGTAGGATGTTCAACGGAAATACCATGTCCGTGGCCACCCCCGCTTCCTGGAATTTTTTTTTTGGGGTGTTTTTCTTGCATGGGAATGGAAATGATTGGATCTTTAGACTGAAAAGTCATAAATACATTTTCATTGCTGCAAAAGAGAAATAGAAAGTCATTTGAAATTTTGATAAAAATCGTCAACAATGAGCACAAATTACTACAACTGAATATTTGTCACCAAATTAAATAATCAGGTCACCATTTAAACTATTTGACACTCTAAAATCGGTGGCGTTAATACTTAATAACATCTTGCATTGACAATTCTAAATGTACCTTTTATCTTTTGTGTCCATTTCGCAACTTGACTTTGACCCGTACCATGGCTGCTTGACATTGTTTGAAGGGGCATTGCTGGACATTTCCATACTACAAATAAACATTAATATTAACAATAATTTATAGCAAAATCTCGAAGCTAAAAAAAAATCCTTGTACTTTAATTGTTAAAAATTGCCTAAGTTTTTTTCATAATTTAGTCATTTTGGTTAAAGTTATCTAAAGTACAGTTTTTGTACACAAATGTTGCTGTTTCTGGATGAAGCAAAGCCGAGTATTATATTTAATTCATTTCCCGAAAATAAGTGGTTAAAAATAAAAAATAGTACCGAATACAAAGAGTGTTTCAAAACTCGCAACCCAGAGAAAAATGTCAAGTAAGATAAGATTCCAGGAACATGGAACATGTCAAAAATTTTGTCATTTGAATTTTTTTTATCACTATTTATTGTTTGTTGTTTTTTTATAATTATTTAATAAAAGTAAAAAAGTCTTGGTCAATAAAAACCACAAATAGTTCAAGTTTAAGATGCAGCTTCTTTGTCTTCTTTTCTAATAGTGTGCAGAAAAAAACATGTAAAATTATTTATCTGACAGAACAGTGTAAAAGTGTAAAATTTAAACCCTCATAATTTCAAAATTCTTATAAATAAAATTTTTTCAACATTTCTATCATGCCGATGCATTAGCCGAGATTTTGCGGCCCTGATAAACAAATAACTATTTCTGCCAAATGATTGTGCTTTCTTATCTTACACTTTATTGTATTTAGTGAATTGTATTATTTAGTAAAAATACATAATTCTTATAATTCTTATTTCAATAAATAATTGTCCCAAAAACTCCTAAAAAATACTATAAAACACAATGAAGTCATAAAATCATGATCACTGTTGCTTATTGTCAAATTATAAAGTAGGTCATCATTAATTAATTACTTGTCCTACCTAGAGAGTGTTAAAAAGGTTTTAAAATATTTAAGCAGGTAATAGTATGAACCAAAATAAACAAAAAAGTCTTAATAAACATTGGTCCGAAAAATAACGGTTTTGGAGGTATCGAATGTGAAAATTTTTAGAATTTTTACTAAAAGCTTCTATTTATTGCTTCAACAGATTGCAAATAAATTCTCGATATCTCTGAAACCGTTACTTTACGGGTTCATATTTATTATGACTTTATTTTGGTCCATACTATTACATTTTGAAATATGTTACAATCTTTTTTTAAGAACTCTTAAAATTCAAAAACTAAAATAATAAATAATTAAAAAAAAATATTCCGTATTATTCATTAATATGAAGCAATATTTGAACCTCAAAAATGAGCTATAAAATGATGTTAATTTAAATAATAACTCGTGTCCTATGTTTACTGATAAGAATTTTACACCCCTCGGAATGTGGGTATGGCAATTTGTTTTTTTTTTGTAATAATTTCGGAACCATTTGACCAAATATTGTAAAATTTGGAATGGTTACTTGCGAGAACATACCTTTTAAACTAGTAATTACGAAAACTGGATACATCTACTCAATTTACGGTTCCAGCAATTGCAAGTCAAATTTTCTGTGTTTTTCCGTTTTTTTGGCCTCTTAACATTCATTTTTTTTTGGTCAAAACAATAGAGTTGAATAAAAAACGCTTAACCTTTAATACCACGAAAATAAACTGTTTTAAAGATATTTTAATTTAAAGTGAAAACCACACAACACTGAAAGCAAAAAGTATGAATTTTGAATGAGTGATATCCACGGCAACAAATGACCATGGTAACATCTTTTGCTGTCAGGCATCTGTCAACTTGACGATTATTAGACGATTAATCGAAAATATTTAATAAAAGAGTTTACCTCAGACTCCAAACATAACTTAGAATAAATCTAAATGGATCTCGTAGCATTTAATTCATAAAAAAAAATCACAAAAATTTATCGTCAAAGTTAACAGATGCCTAGCAAGAATTTATGTGACGCTGGTCATTAGTTGCCGTGGATACCACTTATTCAAAATTCATATTTTTCAGTTTCAGCGTTGTGTAGTCCTCACTTTAAATTAAAATATCTTTAAAACGGTCCATTTGAGTGGTATAAAAGGTTATGCGTTTTTTAATCGAAATTGATTACTCTTTAGATTTAAGCAATAAAAAAATAGTGCTAGGAGGCCAAAAAAACGGAAAAACACAGAAAATGTAACCTGCAACCGCTGAAACCGGAAATTGAGTAGATGTATCCGGTTTTCGTGATTATTAGTTTAAAAGATGTTCTCGCAAGTACCTATTCCAAATTTTATATTTAGGCAAATGATTCCAAAGTTATTACAAAAAAAAAGTAAATTTCTATAGCCACATTCAGAGGGCTGTAAAATTCTTATCAATAGAAATCAAACACGAGTTATTATTTAAATTTACATAATTTTATAAGTTACTTTTGAGGTTCAAATATTGCTTCATATTTATGAATAATCCTCTATTTATTTTGTAATCAATGAGTTTTGTAATCAATAAATTTATTCCTATCAATAATTACGAATTTTAGCTCTAACTCTCTCAGAAAGTATTTCTGGACATAGGTCTATATAAACTTTTTTTCTTATTTCGAGATAAGGAATCTTTCCAAGAAATATTTTAACGTTTTTTTCGACACCTGTATATCAACATTGAAAAGTTATAGTATTATGTAAAATAGTATTAAATATTATGTAATCAATAAATTCCTTTTTTAAAATATGGTGAAAATGTCAGTGTCACATTACTAGAATATATCTTTATCAGTTGATAATAAATACTAACTACGTTTGCAAATTACCTTCAAAGATTTCAAGATCATCCTCATGGTTATTCAAACACTACTGTTTTAACCATTTTGAGATATATTTCTCTATTTTTAAAATAAATTACAAAAAAACTATTATTACTAAAAAACTACTTTATTCTTCGATACTGTCAAAATTTACGGTTTTTCCCGTGTAAGGAAGTTTTGACAACTGTTTGGCATTTCTCAATATGAAACGTCAGATTATTTTTAACAGATTTAAAGCAAGTTTAAGCCTCATTGAGTCTAATTCGAAGAATAAAATGTTGTATTCATTTCGTTTGAGTGTAAATCGTGGATGATAAACCACTCTTTACACTCGTAGTTTAAAAATCTACTCGGTGAGATAATGCGTAGAATAGATAACTATTTCTAACCAATTTCAAAACACGGAACAATTAGAAAAGTCGAAAAAACTATTACTAAATAGTAAATACCAACAAATGATATTTCAAAGTAATTTCAAAACACGGAAAAACAAATAAAATTTTGAACCAGCAGATAAGATATATTTAGCCCGTTGTTGTCTACGTTTCTTCTCATAGTTTTTTATTTTGTCCCAATTTTATTATTAGTTGGGAAACTTAATCTAATTTGTGCATTTGAGAAGTCAACGGTCTAAAAACACTCCCGATTTAAATAATAAAATTGCAGTTCAAATTGCAGGAAGTTAATTAATTTATTAACTTGAACAATATAATAAGATGCACAAGAGTGCAGTATTATTATTAGGAGGACCAAAAGAACGTCTAAAAAACAAAAAAGAAAATGGAAATTTTTTCGCCGACAAAATTAATTAATTAAATAAATGCTATTTCCAATCTAAATAGTTATAAATCAATTAATTATTTCATTAATTAATAAATTAACAATTATTGGCTTATACAGAATGCAACACCAAATGCAAGTACAGTACTTTGACGTCAGTAGTAGAAACAAGAAATTGTCATTGTCACAAAGACGTTAATTAGTTATAATAATTAATAAATAAGATTTAGATAAGCAAATATTTTTAAATACGAAGAGAATAAAAACTTACGTTTATTGAATTGTCTGGGACTTAAATAGTTTAAAGGATAAAAAACTGAGATTACTTACATTCATTTATCAGAATTTTTCGAAAAAGCCCGACCGAAAGAACAATTTTAATGTTTACACTAACAGCACCGTCTTAACACCACACACTGCACGATAATCGAACTGCGAGATTGTTTTTGGATGCTAAGAAAAACGGTGCGAAGGTTGACGAAAAAAACGATTAAACTTGAAATTGTAAAATATAAAAATTTTAATTTATTGTTTACATAAATTAACAAACTAAGAAAAAACTTTCCACTTTGCTTTAATCTCAATACGAACAACTTACATTTGATATTGTATTACATAAAACAGTTAAAAAATTTCAATTAAATTTTATGTTCAATTATAATTGTTTATGAATTTTTTGTTTAGTCCATAAATTGAAATATATTTAGACTGAATTTAATTTTTGTATCAGTGTTAATACAATTAATTGAATAAATAATACATAATTATTAAAAAATAAAAAAAATTAAATTAAATCAAAAAACGAAAGCAAAAAAAAATGCCACATGTGAGTGTTTATAAACATACCTGTATATATTGAGTTATACAACAAATTAATGATCTTGCTTGCAATGCACACACTACTGACCCGACACATACCTTTGCAAGCCGACTTTAAAGATATAACTAAAGCGTGCTTATAACTTACTTATCCCTACTCTTGATGGAAATCCTAGATCAAAGATTGTTTATCTTTCTATTTCTCCAAAAATTTCCTTTTGATAAATGAAACTAATTATCAGCATAAACCAATAACAGGTGGGATATGTAACTGTGACCAGTGCTTTATTAAGTTAATTTAAAAAAAAAATGTTGACTAAAGACGAATTAACTTTTTTATTTATCGTCACCGTTTCTTTTCCTCATATTTTTTTCTAGCCATGTTGATTACATTTCCTCTCTGGAAATGTGTTGTCATTTTTGAGCTAAAATTTTTCATGGTCCGTTGGCTCCTGATAATTTAATTGTAAACTGTTTTTATGTAACGAAGGCCGTAGGTGTTGTTCCATTGTCATCGAAAATTCATGTAATCCGACACAAATACCTATTGGTCACCACTAAACTTTACTTTGCTATTTAGATTTATAAATTTAATTATACCATATGACGATAAATAAATACAACAAATTAATAGTACTCTTTTGCAATTTAATAAATATTTATTCGTAGATTTATATTGGCGTTGATGAAATCAAATCTTGACGAAATCAAGAAAAAACGACAATTTATGTAAATCTGTTAGTTGAAAATTGATTTTTAATATTAAAAAAAATTTAACCACCCCCAAAACTAAGAAAAAGTAACAAACACCTGCTAAAAATATCTTGGTGGTTGTAGATTTATGTTGGCTTTTCCTAAAACAACGTCTTGTCATCTCCCTCAAAAACTATTTATGTAGAACTGGATTTCACTATGTTATTACGTTTTTTAATATCACGTCGTCGTAATCAATCACTTACTCTCTCAGTAACTGCTAAAAATGATAAGATGATAAGAAATTCGTTATTCTTTTGTTTTTTAAAATAAATGATTGTAATTTGGCAGGAATATTTTTCAATCCATTATACAAAATTTAAAATTGCTATCTCAAAGTTTTCCGGAAAATCAAATAAGCGTTGGTACAAGTTAAAGACGTATGTCGCATCGCAGCTAGATGTCAAAAAATTCTTCTATAAAAATTAAACTATTTTTCTAAGCAAGTTGAATTATTGTATATTACTTCTTAAATCATTCTAAAATGAGATGTTAGTGTTTATGCGTACAAATCGTTGAATTGAATTGTTTTTCCTTAATCGCGAGTGGTTAGGCAGGGCAACTATACCCGTGACGCCTTCACGCGATAATTTTAATTCACTGTTTGACAGTATGAGAGATGGGAACATCGAAAAATATATATCGATGTTCTGTGATATCGATGATCGAATAAGAAATCATCGATGTAATATACCTATATCGCCCCAAAACATCGATACTTAAAAAAATCGATGTTTTTTATTGAAAAAAAAATCATTTACTAATTTTTTTAATAATAAATTTTTGAAACATAAAAAAATACAAATACAAACATATTTTTTACAATTCTTGCATAAAACATAAACAAATACAAACTACAAACACAAAAGTTAACCACCTACATCACTTCATCATCGTTAATTTTGTTAAAAAAACATCGAATTCTCCATACATCGAATTTAAATTTTATGAATGAAATTATAAAATTAAAAAAAAAATTAAAGATAATTTAAAATAATTAACTAAACCAATTTCGATGTATCGAAGTAAAAACATCGATATTTAAAAAAAATACTTAGACATTTTTAAATCGATGTTTTTACATCGATGTATTTGACCAATATTCGATGTTTGAAAAATATCGATACTTTTTGCCCATCTCTTGGCAGCATGTTGACAGCTAACCACAAATTTCAAAAGCAAATTTTTCTCTATTTCCAACGTTTCTAAAAAAATTTGACGTTAGTGCATAGTTTTTCGGTGTTTTAAGATGGTTTTCTTTGATTTATACTGTATGTTGTGTTAGTTAATAACTTGTTTTTTCCGTTTTGTTTATCTTGAATTTTTACCTAAATTAAATATTAAAAAATATATTTTGGTTTCGATTGTCGTTCAATGTTTTTGGCAATCAAAAAAGTAAATATATTTGGTATATTTTGTCTTTACAGTCCTATAAATAAATAAGTATACAAATATATAAAGTTTTTAAAAATTCATTTATTTACTCTGTTTACGAAGTGCACGCTTACCACAAAAATAGATTCTGAAATTGTATTTATTGTGACTGTTGTTTTCTTTATTATTCAAAAAATCTTGCTGCACACGAAGTGGGTTCTGACCAAGTAAAAAACGCCATTTTCTTAAATCTTGGAAGATTGTCTTTACAAATTCTTCTATTGTAAATTTTACACCAACCTTGATCGCTACATTATTAGTTAGAATTGGATAACTGAAAAATAACTTACCTAAAACAATGATGATAAGTTACTTACTATAACATTATTTATTTGTGGTTTCATTTCTTCAATAACACTTCTTTTACACGTCTTTTTGAAAGGTCTTGCCGAGGTAGCACTTTGTATAAAGATCAATAACAGCAATCATTTAATAAAAAGACGGTAAGGTGAAAATTAATAGATGCTAAGGTTTGACTGGATAGCATGAACGTTATTCTAAAAGATGCAGATTTGTTTAAACGTTAAAATATGTTTCCCATCATCAAGTGTAAAACCAAAACAAAAAACTCCTCGAGGACTAAATAAATGAAACAGCACTTGCCTGCCACGTTTATTAAACATATTGTACTTTAAATGTGGCGCTTATTAACTTGTTTCCTGCACTTTTTTTTAACAATTTTGAAAAGCCCACAATAACCTTACAAATTATGTCTATTTTACGATCGTGGTCACACTTTTTAACCAATTATACAGGTGCGCCAGAATTCGCGCCCAGAGAAAAATGCCATATAAGGTAAGATACCAGGAACATGGAAAAAATGTTAAAAAAATTTTATCTATAAAAATTTCGAAGTTATGAGGGTTTAAAGTTTGCACTTTGACTATATTTATTTCTGTTGGAAAAAGAATTTTCCAAATTTTTTTGCTATAGGCTATTAAAAGAGGAAACAAGAAAGCTGTATACTAAATTGTAACTCTGTTCAATGTTATTTGTGGCTTTTATTGGCAAAATTTTTGTCCCTTTACTAAATAATTGTAAACAACATATACAAGATCATCAGTATCATTAAATAGATATAAAAAAATGTCAAATGTCAAACAATTTTGACATATATTTTGACATCCGGACCGAAAAATCAGAAAAACAGGTCAATTTTTAATAGGACCGGATTATTAATTTTCTTTTTGTCAAAAATACTTAAAATATTTTAATAGTTTTTATCCACGACTATTGTATAATGTACCCCTTATACGTCTGTTTGCTCGATCTTAAAAATACCCATTAATCACAGCAGTGATTAATGATACCCATTAATCACGGCAGTGATTAATGAGTCATTAATCACTGCTGTCAGAAGCTTCCTTGATTTAGCTATAATAAGGCTATTTTTTTTATAATAGCTTGGTAAAACTCTACCACAACTTTGGTTTTAAATACGGCTTTGTTTAGTCCTGTTGAGTGCAGCAACACTTGAAAAAGAACGTGCCATTAATGGAAGGTTACAAATTCAAGCCTTTGTTGGTTAATCTTTTATAATGTGTCATAAAATTTTTAGTAGGTCTTAGCAAAACGATTTTTCTATACAACATACTACGAGTATATCCAGCATAAATAGACAAAATAGATAAAACAAATTTGTTCATTACTTATTAAAATGCTAAATGTGACTATTGTTATTTGCAAACATAACAAATACATCTAAAGTCGCGGTCAATTCATAATGGCCACTTCCCTGTGTAAATTTGTAAAAATTGAGTTGTGTAAATACGACTTCAAACATCCAATTGTTTTTTAGGGACATACATACAGGGATGTTCCGTTTTTATTGTTACAAACTTAAAGATGTGATAGGATATTCAATTCTAAGACAAAAGTTTTCTATAAACATGTATCGAAAAATGCTTGGTATGGGAGCTACACCCTTTCACAGGGGGCTAATAGGTTTTTGCTAATATTTCAGAAACCATTTAAGATAAAATTACAAAATTTGGTACAGATGATAATCTTTATACACCTAAACAAATGCAAACATCAAATGTCGAAATTTCTAATCAGGGCCGTCCAAAACTGATGGGGTTTAGGGTAAAAAAATACCCTATCTATTTTGGCTCTAGTTTTTTTAGTTTTGCATGGTAGTCACTTTGAACAACTCCTTTAGATTTAGGCAAATTCATTTAATTAATGTTATTAGAGAAAATTTTCAAGTAAAGTAAGATACCAGGGACATGAAAAAAATGTTTAAAAAAATTCTATCTGTCAAAAAATTTTGACATTTATTTTTTGACATTTGACATTTTTTTATATCTATTTTATGATACTGATGATCTTATACATGTTTTTTTATAATTATTTAGTAGAGATACAAAAATTTTGACAATAAAAGTTACAAATAACATTAAACAGAGTTACAATTTTGGATACAGCTTTCTTGTTTCCCCTTTAATAGCTTTTTCTAACAAAAATAAATAAAGTGCAAAATTTAAACTCTTATAACTTAGAAATTTTTTTAGATATATTTTTTTTAACATTGTTTCTAGCATTTTTGTCTGAGGCGCGAGTTCTGGCGCATCCTGTAGTTACTTGCCGCATTGTCTTATTTTATGTGTCTTTTACTCGGCAAATAAGAATATCAATAAGAAAATAAAATTACCAAAATTAACGTCTTGCATTAACGCTGTTAGATTGTGGTGATATGTGTCAATAGAACAATATTTTATAAATGAAACTTTAGACTAGGGATTCCAAATTTGAACAAAAAAACATTTAAAGGGCTCGTAGTTAAATTAAACAAAGTCCAAAAGAGGTATTTCTAAAAAAGTTGATTTTAAAGTTAACTAACATTAATATAAATGCAATTAATTAACCATTAACATTTAGAGCCGTTACGCCGACAAATTCAAGCTACTTTTTCAATTATTTTATTTTTAATTATTTAGTTGCATAATT